GCCAGTGTCCAAAGCCAGTGTCCAACGCCAGTGTCCAAAGCCAGTGTCCATAACCAGTGTCCAAAGCCAGTGTCCAACACCAGTGTCCAACGCCAGTGTCCAAAGCCAGTGTCCAAAGCCAGTGTCCAACGCCAGTGTCCAAAGCCAGTGTCCATAGCCAGTGTCCAAAGTCAGTGTTCAAAGCCAGTGTCCAAAGCCAGTGTCCATAACCAGTGTCCAACGCCAGTGTCCAAAGCCAGTGTCCAAAGTCAGTGTTCAAAGCCAGTGTCCAAAGCCAGTGTCCAAAGCCAGTGTCCAAAGCCAGTGTCCAAAGTCAGTGTTCAAAGCCAGTGTCCAAAGCCAGTGTCCAAAGCCAGTGTCCAATGCCAGTGTCCAACGCCAGTGTCCAAAGCCAGTGTCCATAGCCAGTGTCCAAAGTCAGTGTTCAAAGCCAGTGTCCAAAGCCAGTGTCCATAACCAGTGTCCAACGCCAGTGTCCAAAGCCAGTGTCCAAAGTCAGTGTTCAAAGCCAGTGTCCAAAGCCAGTGTCCAAAGCCAGTGTCCAAAGCCAGTGTCCAAAGTCAGTGTTCAAAGCCAGTGTCCAAAGCCAGTGTCCAAAGCCAGTGTCCAATGCCAGTGTCCAACGCCAGTGTCCAAAGCCAGTGTCCAAAGCCAGTGTCCATAACCAGTGTCCAAAGCCAGTGTCCAAAGCCAGTGTCCAACCCCAGTGTCCATAGCCAGTGTCCTGCAGGTTTCCAAGGTTTCTTGGCTTCAGCTGATTCAGGTGCCGTCAGTTAAACAGAATACTGTTAATCAGTGGAAATCAGCTCTTCAAAAGAACGGACTCCAGGACTGGCTTTGCACATGCCTGGCATAGAGTGACGTCAGTTCATCACTTTTCTTCTGTCTTCTAATTATGCATAAACAAGCTTTCTGAAGACATTTAGTTTGATATGATCATTGCTGATGTTGGGGTTGATTGAAATAGAAGCTAGTTTTTGAAGGTAATGCATGTGATTTGTCCTTCTTTTATCATGAAACCTCAGAGTGTAAAACAATTAGATTTTCAAGCCATATCCCTAAGCCCTAATATAATTAGATATTTATAAAGAATCGCATTAAAATATTAGAACTGACAGCTGGGAAAATGACAGTTCAACAGAGCTGTGTGTTTGGCATCTGTATAAGAAGGAAATCAAGGAATTTATCATTTTTCTCCATTAATGAATGGAAATAAACATCTCTTGTTTTATACAGAAGTAGATGGTTTTTCCAGAATAAAGACATTTTTTTCGTTTTTATCTCTTGTTTCCTGGCATCGTGCTTCAAAGTGCATTTAAAGCAGCGCGTGGAGACAAATAATTGTCCTCTACTTCAACATTTTCCAGGCCAAGGACCCCAAACTGATGGCAAGATGGAGCAGGGATCCCCTGATTATATATATAGTATGAAATGGTGTTCTATCAAACTGGTCCTATAGTCACTCTATTACAGATGGAGTAATGTAACTAAAGTAATCCCTCGCTGGGATTATTAAAGTATTTCTGCTTCCTGGTTGATGGGACAGGTGTTGTGAATGAAACGGTGCCCAGCTTGAAAGAGCTCCTGTGTGTCTCTGAATGTGAGCATTGATGACTGAAAGACATCTTCTGCCTCCATTTATCTGTTTACTACAGTCTGTTGGATTCATGTTCATGTGGATTTAAAGACATTTCAATTAGTGGATGATCTGTTGAACTGTAAAGAGTCTTGAGATGACGTGTTGTGAATTGGTGCTATAGAAATAAACGGAATTAAAGAATACTGAAAAGTGTTCAGAAATGACAGGGTTGTGGTAGAATTATTTATTCCCAATCAAAGCAATATGTCATCATGAGGAAGTGACAAAATGCAAGCGGATGTACTGTCCTGTGAAGTCTGTGACTCGATAAATCAGTTGGTTTTCCTTACATAGGAAACTTTATTTATCAATCTAAGTGTATAATCAGTCTCTTTGAAGTTCCTTGAAATGATGTGTTTTAATTAGTGAGTTTATATAAATAAACTGAACTGAATTTAATTAAATTAAGGAGCCTAAGTATGAAGATGACAACGTGTGGGTCAATACATGTTTTAAGCAAAGCGAATTGAGTCTTAAGATATATAACAAGACGGATGGATGATGGATGGATGATGGATGGATGGATGATTGATGGATGATGGATGGATGGATGATTGATGTATGATTGATGGATGGATGGATGATGGATGGATGATGGATGGATGGATGATTGATGGATGATTGATGGATGGATGGATGAATGGATGATTGATGGATGATTGATGGATGGATGGATGATGGATGGATGATGGATGGTAATGGATGGATGATGGATGGATGGATGATTGATGGATGATTGATTGATGGATGGATGATGGATGATGGATGGATGATGATGGATGGATGGATGATGGATGGATGGATGGATGATTGATGGATGGATGATGGATGGATGATGAATGGATGATTGATGGATGATGGATGGTGATGGATGGATGGATGATGGATGGATGGATGATGGATGGATGGATTGATGGATGATGGATGGATGGATGATTGATTGATGAATGGATGGATGGATGATTGATTGATGGATGATTGATGAATGGATGGATGGATGATTGATGGATGATTGATGGATGGATGGATGATTGATTGATGGATGATGGATGGATGGATGAATGTTGATGGATGGATGGATGGATGATGGATGGATGATTGATGGATGGATAGATGATGGATGATTGATGGATGGATGGTGATGGATGGATGATGGATGATGGATGATGGATGGATGGATGATGGATGATGGATGATGGATGATGGATGGATGGATGGATGGATGATGGATGATTGATGGATGATGGATGGATGGATGGATGGATGATGGATGGATGGATGAATGGATGGATGAATGTTGATGGATGGATGGATGGATGATGGATGGATGATTGATGGATGGATGGTGATGGATGGATGATGGATGATGGATGGATGGATGATGGATGGATGGATGATGGATGATGAATGGATGGATGGATGGATGGATGGATGGATGATGGATGGATGGATGGATGATGGATGGATGGATGATTGATTGATGAATGGATTGATGGATGATTGATGGATGATTGATGGATGGATGGATGGATGATTGATTGATGGATGATGGATGGATGGATGAATGTTGATGGATGGATGGATGGATGGATGATGGATGGATGATTGATGGATGGATGGATGAATGTTGATGGATGGATGGATGGATGGATGGATGATGGATGGATGATGGATGGATGGATGGATGATGGATGGATGATGGATGATGGATGGATGGATGATGAATGGATGGATGGATGAATGTTGATGGATGGATGGATGGATGGATGATGGATGATGGATGATTGATGGATGGATGGTGATGGATGGATGATGGATGATTGATGGATGATGATGGATGATTGATGGATGGATGGATGGATGATTGATGGATGATGGATGATTGATGGATGGATGGATGGATGGATGATGGATGATGGATGATTGATGGATGATGGATGGATGGATGGATGGATGATGGATGGATGATTGATGGATGGATGGTGATGGATGGATGATGGATGATGGATGGATGGATGATGGATGGATGGATGATGGATGATGAATGGATGGATGGATGGATGATGGATGGATGGATGGATGATGGATGGATGGATGGATGGATGATGGATGGATGATTGATGGATGATTGATGGATGGATGGATGGATGATGGATGGATGGATGGATGATTGATGGATGGATGGATGGATGATGGATGGATGGATGGATGATGGATGGATGGATGATTGATGGATGATGAATGGATGGATGGATGGATGATGGATGGATGGATGGATGATGGATGGATGGATGATTGATTGATGAATGGATGGATGGATGATTGATGGATGATTGATGGATGGATGGAGGATTGATTGATGGATGGATGATGGATGGATGGATGAATGTTGATGGATGGATGGATGGATGATGGATGGATGATTGATGGATGGATGGATGATGGATGATTGATGGATGGATGGTGATGGATGGATGATGGATGGATGGATGATGGATGATGGATGGATGGATGATGGATGGATGGATGGATGGATGGATGATGGATGATTGATGGATGATTGATGGATGATGGATGGATGGATGGATGGATGATTGATGGATGATTGATGGATGGATGGATGGATGATGGATGGATGGATGGATGGATGGATGGATGAATGTTGATGGATGGATGGATGGATGATGGATGGATGATTGATGGATGGATGGGGATGGATGATTGATGGATGGATGGTGATGGATGGATGATTGATGGATGGATGGTGATGGATGGATGATGGATGATGGATGATGGATGGATGGATGATGGATGGATGGATGATGGATGATGAATGGATGGATGGATGGATGGATGGATGGATGATGGATGGATGGATGGATGATGGATGATGGATGGATGGATGATTGATTGATGAATGGATGGATGGATGATTGATGGATGATTGATGGATGGATGGATGATTGATTGATGGATGATGGATGGATGGATGAATGTTGATGGATGGATGGATGGATGGATGATGGATAGATGATTGATGGATGGATGGATGAATGTTGATGGATGGATGGATGATGGATGGATGATTGATGGATGGATGGATGGATGAATGTTGATGGATGATGGATGGATGATTGATGGATGATTGATGGATGGATGGATGGATGATGGATGGATGGATGGATGATGGATGGATGGATGATTGATGGATGATGAATGGATGGATGGATGATGGATGGATGATTGATGGATGGATGGATGGATGAATGTTGATGGATGGATGGATGGTTGATGGATGTTCTGTATGATAATGGATTTCGTTCACATGTATCTGGTTTAGCGTGATGTTTTCTCCTTGCAGACAGCTCAGACCATCATCCTAGTCGTCACCGGCTTCACCATCTGCTGGATGCCGCACCACATCATCGCCATGTGGGCGGAGTTTGGCACCTTCCCGCTCAACAACACCACCTTTGCTCTCCGTATCGTCTCCCACTGCCTTTCCTACGGTAACTCCTGCATTAACCCCATCCTCTACGCCTTCCTGTCAGAGAATTTCCGCAAAGCCTGCCGCCAGGTCTTTGCCCGCCACCTGCTGTACAAACCACCAACTAACGGGAAGGTGGTCAGATTCCGCATGGACAACTTCTCCACCACACACTCCAGCACCAATATCTGAAGCAGTTTGGTGAGAACAAGACAATTCCTTCAGGAAAAAAAGGAAGCTAAGGACGCTCTGCAGGTCACATGATGACAGGGGCTGCAGGTGATTGGCTGCTGTGGTCAGCCTTTACCTAAGCTGAAGGAAACCCATTCTGAACAGGACAATGCATGGATCATTGTTTATTTTAATCTTTAATATTTATCTGCTACCAGAAGGCAAATACATCTAGAGTTTGTGAAGAGGTTCAAATTTCCAGGGGTCCTTCACCCACAGTTGCTTCTTAAATATATGATAGTGAATCTGCAAAAACCTTCCCTATCTTTAGTTTCCAGCATTTATAGTCTAACGTACGAATCAGGTCATGTTTGGTGTAGACATGCTCTGAAACCACAACAGCAGAAAACCAAGATAGCCTAGGTTATTCTATAATTAATAGTTCTTAAAGTCATAGGGAAGTGGCTGTTCCATAACCTGACTCCAGCTGGACTTGCTCCGCATATCCATCTGGAAACCTTCCTTTGAAGTATTTTTGGGAAGGGGCGAAAATACTGGTTAGCTGATTGGTCTATGTTGGTGATAGACGGGCCAAATAAACCAATCAGATCAACGAAGCATATGACGTACTAACAGAGCGACGACGAAGAGGAGCCAATTGATAGATCAAACTCTTGGCGAAACCAGTCGGGAGAAGAGCAAAAACATCTTTTCCTCTGAGAAAAGCCTCCAGAGCAGTGTTTTGCTCTTCTTTCAGGGAAGAAATACTCTGTAATTCCGATAAAACTTGCTTGATAGCCACGCTAACGCTAGTTTCGTCAGCTGAAGCCGCCATGTTCTTTAGACTGAACTGTCGCGCTTCTCGTTGCGTCACACCTCAACCCGCCTCAAAGCCAACGCTGATTGGACGTTCTTTTGGTGAACGGCTCCAAATTTTCTTTAACGGAGAGTCTCCAGACTGATCTGCGAGTGAAACCTTGAAAGCTCGCGAGATCACGATGGTCTCACGAGGCTAGCTGTTCCAAACGTTGCATTTCCGAATTCTCCCGAGTGTAGCCCAGACGTCCATCCCCGTGAACACTGGGACGGAAATCAATGGGAAAGGAAATGACTCTGATTTCAACCGTTGCGTATATTAGCTGCGACATATGAATCAAGATGCTATGACGGGAAAAATTTGATTGACAGATGACCGTTGATATATGATTGGCCGAATTTAGTTGTCCAGGCTGACGTAGAACTAACTGATAACGAAAAAAACCCACAGATTTTAAGACAGGATTATTTTTTAAATACATGGTATTTAAAATGGAAAATATGGAAAATATGGTCTGATAAAGAGAACATTTATATACACGTTTAAACCAGAATGATTTGACATTTAAATATTATTTCCCTAAGACTTTAAAGAAAGGAACTTGGTAATGGAAGCGCTTCATATCAGTTCTTTGCAGACGGAGCGGCGGGACTGGTTCAGGTGCCCACAGCAGTGTGAGGTCTCTCTATTCACACCAAACTATCATGTCAGCTTTATCAGAAACACTTAGTTGTCATAGTTCTGTTGTTTCTATAGAGCTGCCTCCACTCAGCAGACAGTTTATCCTCATTACCCAGCTGCTGTTAGTCACCAAAGCACTATGAACCCAGATGTTGTACAGCTGAGGAACTTTAGTTATTCACTTTATTTTATGTATCCTTGCAGCTTTACTGTTTGTTTCCCACCAGCTGCCTGATGGTCCAGTCAGAGCATTTAAATCCGGTTATCTGTGAAATAATGTGGCTCCATCTGTCATCATCTTGACCCAGAAGCCTCATCGTTCATCCAGGTGCCGCATTGCTAAGGCAGGCTTTCTCATCCAACCCTTCTAACCAGACAAACTGGTCCAGGACCATGACCTTTAACCTGCTAACATGGGGAGCATGACATGAAGCTCTCAGGTTTTGGCTCATTTCTCTTACTTTGGACTGAATCTGGGACGTCCGCTCCTGGAAGACCAGCAGCTATCTGAGAAGTTCTGCTTGTCAGAATAATCTTTCTCTCAGCAGGATGCCTCCTAATGAAGATCATTTAATCAGTTCATCTGATTAGCAGCAGCTCCTGTCTGATATTTTCCATCATATATCCCATGTTGGCCTTATCTCTGTTTATTACATAACGACATTGTGAAGTTCTATGTATGTTTCTTTGCTCAAGGTTTTAAACTTTGCAGCAAATAATGCTGTTTATTGTGTAAAACCCTGAAAATGAAAAACGGAAGATTCTTTATTTAAGCCATTATATTATTTAAAACGAGGCCAAAACTTTTGAACGGTGTTAAGATGTGAAGAAGAGCTGGTTTGTCTTTGCATTAATCTGTTCAGATTTCATGGACTTCACAGGTTTAGATTATTGTGTTTTGGTTGGAGGTTTAATGTCCAGCTGTGTTTTACTGTCTGTTCTCACTGGCTGAGATTTAAAAAGCTGTTCTATTGCCTTCCTCCTCCTCCTGCTGCCTTTGGTCTGATTACGCTCCAACTGAACTGGACCTGTATGATCATACATCAGCAGGTTGTATAACTGCTATCCAGGCAGACTCCAGAACCGACCGTTCCATCCAAACAGGCTGTCGTCTTTCCTCTCTACGGTACCTCAGTAACTCACTGACATATAAACCGTGTCTTCCTGCCGCGACCTCCCAGTATCAGACAGCCGCTGAGGTTAGCAGCTACATCAGTTCTCAGACAGCTTGTTTTGTTTGGGTCCGGTTCCAGATGTCTTGATGAGGATCAGAATGAGGTTCAGCCTCACTGCTGTGATTTCTGACCGACATGTTCTGATGGAATCGCAGAGCAGCGACTTTATTTTAAAGAAGAATAAAAGTTAATCTGGAGCTCTGATCATTTTCTGCATTGAATCAAACCAAGCTCACAACATTTAATTCTACAGAGCTGAGTCCTGTGCTTATTTTTGAAAGGAGCCGTTCCAGCACACATTTTTCCAAAAATTTTTTTCTACATGTTAACAAAAAACACCCCAACTGTTAAAAATGTGAGCAAATACAGTTTATTCCTGACATTCCTTCATGGCCACTCCATAGCCGTGCATCAGCCATGTAGTGTAAAGGCTGGTTTATACTCAGAAAGCAGGTTGTCTGCATGTGTGTCGCAGTGAACACAGATAAGCCCCGCCCCTTCCGCAGACACTCTGCTGCACCTTCCCAAAATTATAGATCACCGCAGACAGGAGGCCTCTGATTGGTCAAATCTCCATCCGCTCTACACTATCCGTATTTTCTGTTTGCTTCCTTGTTTTATTTGTCTGACCGCCATATTGGAAAACGACTGGTGAAGATGGAGCAGCTAGCATAGCGAGGTGCGTAAGAACGCTGGGACCCTTTCTCCACCTAAATGGTTATGCTGGCCGATGCTACAACAATGACCAAACCCTGTTTCATTTAATTGAATTTGCTGTCAACAGGACTGAAGTCTCATCTTTTAAACCAGGCTTCCACAACTCAAGAGATTAGCTGTTCTCTACAGAACTTCACTGCATGCTAAGCAGGTAATTCAGCTGTTTGATGAAGCTCTGGAAGAAGAGACACATGTAGAAGGTGCATGAAACCCGACCTCAAGAGCCGCCATTAAGGAAGCCTCCTTCAAACTCTAAAGGCCTGATTTTCAATAATTCAGAGTAAAGGGCACTAAATCCTTTTTTTCCTGTGGATGCAATAAGTAGGTGTGTTGTGGCTGTTCTTTAATGATTGCTGCACAAAATGATTAACTTTTAAAATGAAGTGATTGCATGTTCTGCTGGCATGTCTCTTTGCAGGCTGAACCAATAATCTGCCATTCTGGGCTTTTTTGGCTCTCCTGTAGTACAGTACATCCAGATGAAGAAAAACATAAAGTGTGGCAGTGATGGTTAGCTGGAATTTAAAATAGCTCCAAAGTGACATTGCTGGATAGATTATAAATCCACTCTTTTTATTTCTGAAAGTCCAAATATACAACTGTGCCTCCTGAAGTTTGAACCTGATATAAATTTAGACACAGAAACTATGCCTGCAATCATTTCTAAATTTTATTTAATAAATAGTCAGGAATAAATTTGAATACCCTGATTAGCTTATTATATTCTACTAATTTATAAACACAAACCTTTTTAGGACGGCATCCGCTGTTTTTCACTCAGTGCTGCAGCAGTTGGCTTGTTCAGTTTTCATACTCCACCAATTTGCTTTTGATGATATACAGACTTTAGTGAATCAGTTCCTCAGTGGAAACTATACATGTTAGAAAACGTCTCTATAAATGGACGTCTGTTCAGTAATACTATGTTTTATTGTGAGGTAATAAATGAGCCTCTGAAAATACTTATTTTCTTGGTTACCTTTTCGCACCCAACTTTTGAAAAGATATAGAAAAATAATCATATTTTACCTCTCTATAAATCAATTTTTTTAATAAAATAATTACAGATACATTCAACTAATGGATAACCATGCTGGAAAAAAAAAATTGTTAAAGTTCTTTAAAAGTAAGTTGCATAAGTTTCATAGAAAATGGGCCATATTTCAGGAGTGCTGGTCACTTTTCATCTCCTACTAGTTTGGAGCAGAATGCTGTATTAGCTGTAATAATAATAAAAGCAGTTCTCTAAATGCATTTGCTTTAGTATGTGTGTCAGATATGAACCACTTCTCATGCTCTCTACTTATTGAATAAAAACTCCCTTCAACATCCGCAGGGCAAAACTATCTAAGAGGAAGTGTTTGATTTATCTACAAACCTCCACAGTAACAACTTACCGCAAATATTTCCAATGTTACCGTCATCAATCAGCACAAATAACCCATCCTTTAAAAATCCATCATTCAGGACAAATTTCTAAGTATCCAACATTTTAAAATGTTTTTATACCTTCAGCATCCAACACTCTAAACTCTAAGCATCTGATGTGATAAACAATGTTCCAATGGTCTAAATATCCATCATTATATATATCGTTCTAATTTTCTAATCATCCAACATTCTAAACAAAGTTCCAATGTTTTAAATATCCTGTATTTTAAATAAACTTCCATTTTTTTTTTATTTTAGTTCAAATATTTTACAAATACATTTAAAAACAGGCCCGATGTTCAGAACATCTTTTCTAAACAACGTTCCAATTTTCTAAAAATGCTACGTTCTGATGTTCTAAACATCTTTAGGTCTAAACCAGGAGTTCCCATCCAATACTGAATGAATCAGTCAGCGTTCTGCTAAACTTCATGCATAATAAACTGACTTTTACTGTTTATTCTAATTTTCTTTAAATATTAGTTTTTTAAATGATTAAAAAAGAAAAGCATCAGAATAAAATCCCATTTAAAACTGGTGAGTTGTTCTGTTTCCAGAAGAAGCTGAGCAGCCCTTAAGGGCCCCTTGGTGCCCACAGGCACCGTGTTGGGGACCCCTGGTCTAAACCACGTTCCAATATTTCAAACATCTGTTGTTAGACTTCAGGATTTCCAAAAATTTAATTTTATAAATGTTATTTTTCTACAAATGTCACCTATAAATCCAGTTCTTTATAGATTCCGAAACACTTGAAATCTTGTATTCGTTCAGGTAATTTAGCCATATAAAGTTTTGGGAGTCTCATAAATCTGAGCGAGGACCTACTTGCCATGTCCAAGTTTTTAGTAGCCAGTGCTAACAAAGGTGCTAACATCAGACGGCAGGCTGAGGTGTTGAAAACAAAGAATCAACCTACAGCAGGGGTCTCCAACGTTTTCCAGGCCAAGGACCCCCAAATCGTTGGCGAGATGGAGCGGGGACCCCCCTAATTAATCATCTGCTAAATGTTATTTTTTTCAAAACAAATTCCTCTCATTTTTATGGCAGAATTTATCAATTTTTCTCGAGTTCTAATTCAGATTTTTAGAAAAAAACTTAATTTTAACTCAAATTAAGTCAAAAATATGTAAAATTTCAAATTTATGAATGTCTATTGATCTAACAAGAAATAGAATTTTAATAATTAAACCTAATTAAATAGAAATTTCATTTCATGCAGCTCTCTTAATATATTTGAATCCCTTGCCCTGTTTTTTATTTAATGCTTTTCTGTGCCCCCCATGAAAACACGCTGGCCCCCTCCTGGCCCCCTCGTACATTTGGTCTAGAACCGCCACTGGCAGTGATATCTGAAAGACATCTTCTGCCCCCATTTATCTGTTTACTACAGAGTGATGAATTCATGTTTATGTGGATTTAAAGACATTTCATTTAGTGGAAAAAAAAGAAGTCTAATCAACCAAAACTTTCGTGACCCCCATGCAGTACCTCCGAGGACCCCCCTGTTGAAGACCTCCGACCTACAGGATTAAACCTGGAGGGTCTAGGAACTAATTTCTACCTGGAAATGAGAGAAGAATAACTTCAAAATGTAGTTTTTAATGCAAACATTTAGTGCTTATGTAAAAGATAACACATAAAAGTGTTTTTATTGTTTATGATGCAATTTTTAAATGTTGCCTCAAGTTTTTATGATTTAGGTCATGCCCCCCCCCAACAACACAGCCTGCTAAGAAAACGGCATCAGCAACATTGAAGGGAATAAAGAGCCACATTCAGTGGAGGCCTATCAGTCAGTCCATTATTAATGCAACCTCTGCTGAGTTAAGACCCCATTCTGGTCTCAGGATAAACGGTTCAGAGTCTCTGGTTCTGGTCGGAGGCCTCCTGACCCCCCCTGAACACTGACACCAAGTCTTTAACACTGCTAGCTGAGCGAGGCTTCTCCTCTTGCTCTTGTCTCTTAGTCCTTGTTTTCGTTGGGTTGGTGTTGAGACTTTTGGAGCGCAGCGCTGGGTAAATCCTGTCTTCAGACACCAGCAGCTGCTCCTCCTCATCTTGGTCTCCAACCACAGTCTCGCCTAGCGACTCCTGACCTGGAACCTCGGATCCCTCCTCTCCTGCTCTGTCATTTCCTTTTATCACCTGAGCAGATGGCGGACGGTCAAGCCACTCGTGCTCCATGGGGCTGCAGATGATGGAGCTCACAGACTTCTCGCCATCTTGCCTTGGAGATGATAAAGATGTTGTAACCTTTGACCTCTCCACAGGAAATGATGGAACTGCCTCCAGTTGACCCTTCAGTGATGATTTGTTTAACGCTGCACCTGTAAGACCCTCATGTGGCGGAGTAGAGGAGCTGCTGAGGTCACATGGGGAGATCAAGATGTCAACGTTGGATAGAGACTGGGCTCTGTCCCTCACGCCTCCGACTTCAAGGGTTGAAACAAGATCCTTAAGGCCCCCTAGAAACAGGGAGGACAAAATATCATCATTTGTTTTTCATATTCTAGTGCAGAATCCCTTCAAGCATTGCTCAGCGTTACTGCCATTTATAATTACTGTTACCTCATCTTCCTGTAGTTTGTTAAATTGATCAGGATTGTTGAGTCTAATCAGCAAAACTAGAAATTTATCTCAGACTGTCTGATCATTTTATAAATTAAAAAATACACATCTAAGTTCTGGGGGATTTATAAACAACTCCTGAGTGTCAGTAAGACGCAGCATGAAAATGAAAAAACTCGGACCTGTCACACAAATACGATCTAAACCAGCAAAGTGTTTGGGGTCTACAATGGGAACAAACTGGGAATGGACATAAAGAACATTTTTCTGACCCCTTTCTTCAATGATGAATTTCGTAGTTCCGAACGATAAAACAAAAACAGGGTGTAATTTACTCCTCATCCAGTTGGGGAAGTAATGAGCCACAAACACCAAAAACCCATCCGGTCTCCAATCAGACCCCCTCAACAATCGGTTGCATCTAGAAATCCTGTGACAGAGGCTCAGTGACAGATACCAGCTCTGGTCAGTGCCCAACTTGCACTGGGAAAAGGTCCGACTTAATGCCATATGGACCAGACTCATGCTTCTCTTGGACAGAGACTGCATAGCCCCAGTAAATGGCCCCTAAGGACACAGTTGAATGACCTCCAGGTCCATATAGCTCATGTGTATCAGTTGAACTCCTATAAACCCGGAGCACCATGAGCAAAACGAAGAGCTGGTTCACTGTTTCACAGCCGCGATAAAAACCGTACTGCTGCTCCTAACGCTGAGGTAGGACAGTCAATCAGACTCTTCTCACCAGAACTCCGACATTGGCCCCTGGGGAATGCTGACAAGTTTGATTGAGTCTTAAAAACACCCTCCTGTCTCCCTTGACAACAAAGATCTGATGGCAGATAGATATTTTATCTGTAACAACCATACAGATGATGGCCAACAGAAACAGAAAACTATCCAAAGACCAACATGACGACATTTCTGCCAGTTTGTTATGATTGCATCTGTCTACACAGTAAAGGAAAGTTGCCAAAGGGAACTGTATTACATCTTTGTTCTACCTGTTGTATTTCCTCCCTCTGACTTATTTGCTTTTCTCTCAGGACTTAGACGGACTCCTTTGTGCTCTGTATCTCCCGTCATCCTATCGTCAAGGTCTAGCTGGTACCGGTACAGACTATGTCCGTCGACGCTGTTGATGCTGCCGTGCCGTAAGAGAGATGACGACCCGCATACGGACGACGCCCTGGATCCTGTACGAACCAGCTCGGTTCGGTCAATGCCGGCTAACTTCTCCAGGGCGTTCATCATCCGACCAGAGAACTCCTCCAGCTGAGCCAGGCGGAGGTCCACCGTCTGCAGGGATGCCTTCATGGAGTGCTCCCTTTCATTCACCTCTTCCAGACGCATGGACATGTTCTCCACCCTGGAAAAGACAATATTAGTGTTGGCTAATGCCTCAGAGATTAAACTACAGACAGAAAACCAGAGTCCTACATCAAAATTCAGTTACTTGGTAAAGAGGTATAGAGGACGAACTTTTATTTCCAGGTGGATCATCTAAATAATTGGTCCTCCTAACTGTCAATCATTCTGGTGATGCGTTTACATAAGGCCGTCCTTCGCGCTCGTCCCGTTAGCTATCTTTTTCTTCCAGGCGTATATCTGTGGTGAGCTACAGTTTCAGACGGTCATTGAAACTCACCTTTCTCACCACGGTTCTTTGAAAATGGCCGAGGGTCGGAAGAGAAAGAGTGTCTACGAAGTCTACCAGAAGAAAGGAAAGGCTTCAGAAGAGGCAGATATATATTTGCTGTCACAGCGGCCCACTGTCGCCGTGACTAATAACAAAGATGTCGCAGTGGACCAACGGGGAAGTGGTCATCTGTCTGAACGATAAGTTAACTGAGTTCACTATAAAGTCCCTGCTTTATATGGTGATTAGAGGTGAGTATTGGTATGAGTGTTGCGATTCGATACATGTCACGATACTTGGGTCACGATACGATATTATCACGATATTGCAGTATCACTATATATTGCCATATTTTCCCCAGCTATCAAATGATGAGATAAAACAGCAACTGCTGTATATTTTCATCAGAAAATATTGATTAGGTATTATTATCCATGTTGTTTGGGGTTTTCTTCCACTGTGACTGCCTCAAATACAGATCTGGTGCTGCACGCACAGTTAAAGGGCTCCACAGTGCTTTCTGCCAGAGTGGGGGTGCAGAGGTAGCCCATTTTCCCATCAATGTTTTATGTTACCATTTTTTTTTTGAAAATCGATACTAAGAAGTGAAAGATCGATATTATATTGGGCAGCCGAATATCACGATATATCGCCAAAACGATTATTTCCCACACCCCTAATGGTGATGGAGGGATTTAGGGGTTAGAGCAGACGGTCGGACACAGGAAGCTTGTATGAGCTATGAGAACAGCAACTTTTAAACAGAGCGTGCACGAGGAGGAATGGGCTGGTGCACGCTCTCGCACATGCATTTTTCTTAAAGTGGAGAGGGCGGGTCTTTTAAAAAATTCCATAGAATCCTCCATAATACCTTTAATGTTCAATAATAAGACATTTATGGTGTTTACTTCACGCCAAGTTAACTAAAACCATGATGTCAGAGCGGTTGCTGCTCATTAGGACGTTTATCGGTTTTTGACCTTTCAGATGTGACTCTGATTTGCTCGTTGTTGGAGGACTGCTTCTCATCCTCTTTCTCTCTGAAGTATTCCTCCACGCATTGTTCCTCAAACTCGTACAGACTCTTGATCTCCTCCGCATTAAGCACCAGCTCTGAAAAAAAACAAAATTTAAAGTCAAGCGCTACTCTTATTTGTTTGATTTGTTCTTATACAGTAATGCTATAAATTCAGCAAAATAAGTGAAATATGAAATGTGACAAACTGTGGTCAATCTGAAGGAGGATTTAAGTAGATTTCTACAAACTCATTTAAACCATTCAAACTTATACAACTATATATTTATGCTAAAAACATTCCAAAACTAAACCATTAATTCTCGGTGGGTCTTAAAGTACTAAAGTATTACAGGTTGTTCACACTTTTCAATAGCAGCTATACAGTTGCCAATAGCAGCTATATAGTTGCCAATAGCAGCTATACAGTTGCCAATAGCAGCTATATAGTTGCCAATAGCAGCTATATACTGTAGTTGCCAATAGCAGCTATATAGTTGCCAATAGCAGCTATATACTGTAGTTGCCAATAGCAGCTATACAGTTGCCAATAGCAGCTATACAGTTGCCAATAGCAGCTATATAGTTGCCAATAGCAGCTATATACTGTAGTTGCCAATAGCAGCTATATAGTTGCCAATAGCAGCTATACAGTTGCCAATAGCAGCTATATACTGTAGTTGCCAATAGCAGCTATATAGTTGCCAATAGCAGCTATATAGTTGTCAATAGCAGCTATATACTGTAGTTGCCAATAGCAGCTATACAGTTGCCAATAGCAGCTATACAGTTGCCAATAGCAGCTATATAGTTGCCAATAGCAGCTATATACTGTAGTTGCCAATAGCAGCTATATAGTTGCCAATAGCAGCTATACAGTTGCCAATAGCAGCTATATACTGTAGTTGCCAATAGCAGCTATATAGTTGCCAATAGCAGCTATATAGTTGTCAATAGCAGCTATATACTGTAGTTGCCAATAGCAGCTATATAGTTGCCAATAGCAGCTATATAGTTGCCAATAGCATTTATTTAGTTGCCAATAGCAGCTATATAGTTGTCAATAGCAGCTATATAGTTGTCAATAGCAGCTATATACTGTAGTTGCCAATAGCAGTTATATACTGTAGTTGCCAATAGCAGCTATATAGTTGCCATTAGCAGCTATACAGTTGCCAATAGCAGCTATATAGTTAACAATAGCAGCTATACAGTTGCCAATAGCAGCTATATACTGTAGTTGCCAATAGCAGCTATATAGTTGTCAATAGCAGCTATATACTGTAGTTGCCAATAGCAGCTATATAGTTGCCAATAGCAGCTATATAGTTGCCAATAGCATTTATTTAGTTGCCAATAGCAGCTATATAGTTGCCAATAGCAGCTATATAGTTGTCAATAGCAGCTATATGCTGTAGTTGCCAATAGCAGCTATATACTGTAGTTGCCAATAGCAGCTATATAGTTGCCATTAGCAGCTATACAGTTGCCAATAGCAGCTATATAGTTGCCAATAGCAGCTATACAGTTGCCAATAGCAGCTATATAGTTGCCAATAGCAGCTATATAGTTGCCAATAGCAGCTATATAGTTGTCAATAGCAGCTATATACTGTAGTTGCCAATAGCAGCTATATAGTTGCCAATAGCAGCTATATAGTTGCCAATAGCAGCTATACAGTTGCCAATAGCAGCTATATAGTTGCCAATAGCAGCTATATAGTTGCCAATAGCAGCTATATAGTTGTCAATAGCAGCTATATACTGTAGTTGCCAATAGCAGCTATATAGTTGCCAATAGCAGCTATACAGTTGCCAATAGCAGCTATATACTGTAGTTGCCAATAGCAGCTATATAGTTGCCAATAGCAGCTATATAGTTGTCAATAGCAGCTATATACTGTAGTTGCCAATAGCAGCTATATAGTTGCCAATAGCAGCTATATAGTTGCCAATAGCATTTATTTAGTTGCCAATAGCAGCTATATAGTTGCCAATAGCAGCTATATAGTTGTCAATAGCAGCTATATACTGTAGTTGCCAATAGCAGCTATATACTGTAGTTGCCAATAGCAGCTATATAGTTGCCATTAGCAGCTATACAGTTGCCAATAGCAGCTATATAGTTGCCAATAGCAGCTATACAGTTGCCAATAGCAGCTATATAGTTGCCAATAGCAGCTATATAGTTGCCAATAGCAGCTATATAGTTGTCAATAGCAGCTATATACTGTAGTTGCCAATAGCAGCTATATAGTTGCCAATAGCAGCTATATAGTTGCCAATAGCAGCTATATAGTTGTCAATAGCAGCTATATACTGTAGTTGCCAATAGCAGCTATATACTGTAGTTGCCAATAGCAGCTATATAGTTGCCAATAGCAGCTATACAGTTGCCAATAGCAGCTATATACTGTAGTTGCCAATAGCAGCTATATAGTTGCCATTAGCAGCTATACAGTTGCCAATAGCAGATATATAGTTGCCAATAGCAGCTATACAGTTGCCAATAGCAGCTATATAGTTGCCAATAGCAGCTATATAGTTGCCAATAGCAGCTATATAGTTGTCAATAGCAGCTATATACTGTAGTTGCCAATAGCAGCTATATACTGTAGTTGCCAAAAGCAGCTATATAGTTGCCAATAGCAGCTATACAGTTGCCAATAGCAGCTATATAGTTGCCAATAGCAGCTATACAGTTGCCAATAGCAGCTATATAGTTGCCAATAGCAGCTATATAGTTGCCAATAGCAGCTATACAGTTGCCAATAGCAGCTATATAGTTGCCAATAGCAGCTATATAGTTGCCAATAGCAGCTATAAAGTTGCCAATAGCAGCTATATAGTTGCCAATAGCAGCTATACAGTTGCCAATAGCAGCTATATAGTTGCCAATAGCAGCTATAAAGTTGCCAATAGCAGCTATATAGTTGCCAATAGCAGCTATATACTGTAGTTGCCAATAGCAGCTATACAGTTGCCAATAGCAGCTATATAGTTGCCAATAGCAGCTATAAAGTTGCCAATAGCAGCTATATAGTTGCCAATAGCAGCTATACAGTTGCCAATAGCAGCTATAAAGTTGCCAATAGCAGCTATATAGTTGCCAATAGCAGCTATATAGTTGCCAATAGCAGCTATACAGTTGCCAATAGCAGCTATATAGTTGCCAATAGCAGCTATAAAGTTGCCAATAGCAGCTATAAAGTTGCCAATAGCAGCTATACAGTTGCCAATAGCAGCTATAAAGTTGCCAATAGCAGCTATACAGTTGCCAATAGCAGCTATATAGTTGCCAATAGCAGCTATAAAGTTGCCAATAGCAGCTATATAGTTGCCAATAGCAGCTATACAGTTGCCAATAGCAGCTATATAGTTGCCAATAGCAGCTATACAGTTGCCAATAGCAGCTATATAGTTGCCAATAGCAGCTATAAAGTTGCCAATAGCAGCTATAAAGTTGCCAATAGCAGCTATAAAGTTGCCAATAGCAGCTATAAAGTTGCCAATAGCAGCTATATAGTTGCCAATAGCAGCTATAAAGTTGCCAATAGCAGCTATATAGTTGCCAATAGCAGCTATATAGTTGCCAATAGCAGCTATACAGTTGCCAATAGCAGCTATACAGTTGCCAATAGCAGCTATATAGTTGCCAATAGCAGCTATACAGTTGCCAATAGCAGCTATACAGTTGCCAATAGCAGCTATATAGTTGCCAATAGCAGCTATAAAGTTGCCAATAGCAGCTATATAGTTGCCAATAGCAGCTATAAAGTTGCCAATAGCAGCTATAAAGTTGCCAATAGCAGCTATATAGTTGCCAATAGCAGCTATAAAGTTGCCAATAGCAGCTATAAAGTTGCCAATAGCAGCTATAAAGTTGCCAATAGCAGCTATATAGTTGCCAATAGCAGCTATAAAGTTGCCAATAGCAGCTATAAAGTTGCCAATAGCAGCTATAAAGTTGCCAATAGCAGCTATAAAGTTGCCAATAGCAGCTATAAAGTTGCCAATAGCAGCTATATAGTTGCCAATAGCAGCTATATCTGACCTGCATCATTATGTGTCTGTCGTGTAATGACCTCCTTAAGGTGGCTGGAAACTAAAAAAGGAATTTAAACCTAAAGAAAATGGACTGAAAGAAATGGATTTGAATCTTAAAATTTTAAATCTAAAACTGCAATAAAGAAAATAAATAAAAAGAATAACTGTAATTAAAATACTAAAGTGAATTCTTAGTTTTTTTAAGCTGAGGGGAAAAATTTAGATTCAATTTTTATTATTTTATGTTCGGTTTTTATAGTTTTTCCAATTATAAGTAAAAATTGGACATTCAATATCAACTTGTATTTCTTCACTTTCAATAATTTAACAATTAAGTTTACAATAATTGTTGCATCTCTCTGACTCCATACTTTCCTACCCTGGATAGTGTCATTGTTCGCCCTGCAAAAGGTAAAAGGAGCAAAGAACAGCAGGTAGGAGCTACGATTTAAGGCAGGAGTGACCAATCAGCAGCGTCCAGATAAAGAGAATTATCAACCAGTAAAGGTCTGGAGACATTTTTAATGATCTGTTACTTTATACAGACTTTAACACTGAAATAAAAAGCAGGGTTGTATGTATCCATGTTATACATTTTAAATAAAAGATATATATACATAAAAAAATAACATTTTTCCATTTTAAAATCAAAATTGTTTCTTAGAGTAGAGATAAACAATCTTTCAGTTTGGTTTATAGATAATTTCCTGATTCCCATATTTTCTCAAACAGCTGAACTGATGGTTTGTTATTTTCTTTCTTTTTTCTGTCTTAATGTTGGCAGTGGGCTTTAGGCTGCCCTGCGAGGCTTTAAACCTGGGTTTAACCGGAGACTAAGCCATTCTCAAGCACATATCAAGGAGCTCATTTAAATAAACTTGTGAAAAGGCTGAAAATTGTAAACGAACCTTTATACTTTAAAACCTTTTATATCTTATTGGTTTTGTTTAGATGACAGATTTATTGATCTTTAAGCATTCAGTCATGGGAAATAGAGACATTTTCTAGATATCTGTGACTCTGACTGAATAATTTCCTCTCCAATGCGAAGCTTTCACTTGGTGAGTGTTTCTTACGGAGTCGCCTCTCCCGGTCGTCGCGTTCTCCCTCCGGCTTGCGCCTGCATTTGCAGCACAGGCTCTTCAGTACGATGTAGATGTGGGGGAAGACAATCAGTGGGGGAGGCAGGATGGGGCGGTCGTGGAAGGTCATGATCAGCTGATACCGTTGAAACTTCCACACCTGGTTGGAGATGGACTTCACCTCAAAGAAGGTGTTGCTGGGAGAGAAAAGGGCCGAAGCTGAAGGCAGAACTACTAACACCTTTTTGGAAAACAGATGTCTGGGTTTCGTAAAAATGTTATAATTTTCTTTTTATAACAGGAAACCATATATTAGTGTAAGACAACCAGTTTTAGTCCGTGAGGCAGACACCCTGTCTACTTTTAAGGCTAGGCTTAAAACTTTCCTTTTTGATAAAGCTTCTAGTTAGAGTGGCTCAGGTTATCCTGAGCTATCTCTATAGTTCTGCTGCTATAGGCTTAGACTGCTGGAGGACATAGGGACCCCTTTTTCATCATTCTGCTTCATTCTATCTCTATTCTCCCACTCTGCAGAATCTGTTAGTTCAATCTCTAACGTTCTGCTCTCTCTGCTTTTTCTCATAGTAGCTTCATCTGGTCTGTTCCTGTTTGGCTGTGACTCCATCCTGGAGAGAAATATCAGCTGTGCTGCTGCCATCAACACCTTTGTTTCTAGATGTTGGAGCTTGGCCTGTTTTCCAGTGTGGTCCTGTTTCTCTGACTGTGACTAACTGGATGTGCTCTCTTCATCCTCTGACATGGGAGCTGGCTCGGAGCTCGTCTGCCTGGCTGTGTGTTTCCTGGACGGGGCCGCCTGTGGAGCTGGTTGACAGTTGCCTTTTGTATCTATGCTTCTTTTTCTATGTCTGCTTCTGTCTCCTTGAACCCCAGTGGGCCTCAGCTGGAAGTTTCTTCCTGTTAAGAGTTTTTCCTCTCCACTGTCGCTACAAGCATGTTTGGTGTGAGGGATTGTCTTGAGTCAATGATTTCATGCAATCAGCTGGTTTTCCTTAGATAGAAAACTTTGAATCAGTTTGACTGGATGATCTGGCTGAATTGTCTCTGTAAAGTGACCTGAGATCATATGTCTGTAACAAAGAGCGTTTATTCCTCCCACCTCAGACTGCTCCTAACATTTAGCCTTTTTCCTTCATTAAATGATTTGCTTTAACTTTGAAAAACATCTGATAAGATATCAGAGTTTTTAAATTTGTACTAACTTGAAAACTGCGATGAGCAGGTTGACGAGGAGGATGTTGGCCACCAGCAGGTAACATGCCATGATAGCGGGGGTTAGCCATGCTCCAGGGATACACGGAGGAAGCTTCTTCCCATCTTCGTCATACATGTTGTCTCCACATGGAGCTAAAATCAGACAAACGGATACATTCCTGCATTATTGTCCACCAATCGGCTGGTGAGACGTTGGTCTGACTCAGACACTGATCTATCATCAGAGATGCCGTCTGGTTCTTCTTTCCGGACACACAGGGCCACCTCAGTTCCTACTGGAGCCATCAGAGAAGAGCTTTCCCTCTACCTGGATTCTCTACTTGGATCTTCCTGTTTATTCATCCATCCTTTTTGTCCAGTCATCAAACTCCCACATTAGTAAAGAGAGGCATACAGTGGGGAGAACAAGTATTTGATACACTGTTGATTTTTCAGGTTTTCCCACTTGCAAAGCTTGTAGAAGACTGTAATTTTTATCATAGGTACTCTTTAACTGTGAAATGGAAATTAATTATTTAAAAATCATACATTATATATTTCTGGATTTTTGTTTTAGATTCCATCACTCTCAGTTGAAGAGTACCTATGATAAAAATTACAGTCTTCTACAAGCTTTGCAAGCAGGAAAATCTGAAAACTCAACAGTGTATCAAATACTTGTTCTCCCCACTGTAATAGAGGCTCTAGGCCATTTTAAAACCTTGAGCAAAATTCACCCCAATGGATCTTGGTCCAACCAGGATTTGAACCGAGGACCTTCTATCCTTAAAATAATGTTAACGTTAATCACCAATCCAGGAATATTTCTGACTCACTAACAACATCCACCTTTTGGATTAATGGGTTTGTTAAAATTGGTTTACTGTTATAATTAATGCACACGTGGATCCTGTTGTGACTTCTGCATGAAGGATGGAAGAAAACAACATCTGGATGAAGAGAAGAACAGGCTGGTTGTGTAACAATGGGCCCTGCAGAACAGCCAGCTGAAAAACAACTGGACACTCATTCAGCCGAACCCTAAAAGAATCAGAAGCTCAGACTCTCTGACCTCGAAAGGACTGTGATGCATCAGTAAAATAGACTTAAGTTAAAAAGTAAAAAAAGGGATAATTATCTAAAATAAGAAAGTAAAAATGTTAATATAAAGCCAGTGAAGAGTCCTGCTAACTAACCCCGGCTGTGATAATCTGGAAACAGAAAACAGAGTTTGAACGTTTACTTACGGTTAATCTCCATTGCATAAACTGTCCATCAGCAGCAGATGTCAACAGAAGAAAACATCATTAATCTGTGATAAAAGCCTCTGATCCTAACAGACAATAAATCTGAATTAAGATCAAAATGTCTTCGTGATCAAGATGAATATGAGGCAATGCATCAACTTCAGAACAGATGTGAGAATGTTGCCCCCTGCTGTTCAACAAACATACTTCAGAGGCTGATTATTAAAGACTTTCATGGATTCACCAGATAAAGTAAATGTGCTCAATATTCAGTTTTAGATGGAAAGACTCAGAAAGTTGTCAGATAACTTGAGTCCCTTCAGATCTGTCTGATTTCACCTACTTGGCAGCTGTTTCCACTGATCTATCACTCAGGACTCCATTACGCCACAGGGCTGATTCTTTATGTAAAGAAGTCATTAAGCAGGTGACCCTAAACTTAAACACAAACGTGGCTCAAATTTGTTAAAGTTTTAATGCCAGATCAGTCTTTAAATGTGTTGCCAGCCAGATTAGATATTTATTGAAGCTGACGTTGTGTTGGAAATATGAGCGCAATTAGAATGTGATCAGTAATTATTTTGTGCAATTCAGTTTTAACATTTACAACCATGGCGGCGGGAAGTGGGGGGTGCTGCAGCACTCCCTAGTGGTGACAGGGACATTAAAAAAATGTATTAAAATACTTTGCACAATTTATAAATGTGAGCAAGGTATTACACCTTTTTTTTATTTTACTATTACATGTATTTGGATTTTTATTTCATAACTTTGAGGCCTAATCAACACAAGTTCAGCCTAGTCATCCTGTGATGGATGTGGAGAACCGTTCAATAATCCTTAAATAGTATAATTATTTCCTTGTTGTTTGCGTAAAAGGAATTGGAGCTAATAGAGGCCTGTTTTCCAGTGTAGTCCTGTTTCTCTGACTGTGACTAACTGGATGTGCTCTCTTCGTCCTCTGACATGGGAGCTGGCTCGGAGCTCGTCTGCCTGGCTGTGTGTTTCCTGGACAGGGCCGCCTGTGGAGCTGGTTGACAGTTGCCTTTTGTATCTATGCTTCTTTTTCTATGTCTGCTTCTGTCTCCTTGAACCCCAGTGGGCCTCAGCAGATGGCCGCTCACACTGAGCCTGGTTCTGCTGGAGGTTTCTTCCTGTTCAAAGGGAGTTTTTCCTCTCCACTGTCGCTACAAGCATGCTTAGTGTGAGGGATTGCTGAAGAGTCAATGAGTCGATGCAATCAGCTGGTTTTCCTTAGATAGAAAACTTTGAATCAATCTGACTGGATGATCTGGTTGAACTGGAAAGTGACCTGAGATGACATGATGTGAATTGGAGCTATAGAAATAAACTGAATAGAATTGAATATAGTTTGGTCAGAATATTTAGATTTCTCTTCTTTCATATATTTAGTTATACTATTTATTCAGTAAAAAGTGTTTTTACTCAGTTTGTTTCACCTGCAAGGCTGAGAATGTCTGAGAAAAAGCCAAATTGTTTCTCAATGTTTGTTAATTTGTTTGGATTCTGATACAACCTTCACAGTTTTATTCATCAACATAAGTAAGAAAGACAAACTGTGGTCGGAACAGGGCTGATTACTGTGCAATAACCTGTACCCGCTGCCTCAGGAGAGCCCGCAGTATCCCCCTTCTTTTTTTTTTTTTTTTTTAACTTTTTCGTATTTATTTTCTTTTAAATTTGCACTAATTGCTTGTACTGTTTTTCTTTTTTGAGAAATTTCGTTGCATCCCTGTGGAGCAATGACAAATAAAGAATTCTGATTCTGATTCTTAATTAATAGCGCTTATATTCACCTGAGAACTTATGAAGTCTGTGTGTTACAGACCCTGGTTGTGTGCACAGGAGTGTGTATAAAAATAAAGTTGTGAATCTCAATCTTTTTATTTATTTTTATTCATTTTACCTTAATAGACCTTGAAAAGAATTTGGGCTAGGATGGATTCTACAATATGTAACTTTATGAGGTTTATGACATGATTTGGTTGTAAACAAGGCTGCTGGAAGTCATTTTGAACAGGGGGTACTGTAAAAAAATATATATATATTAGGGATGCAGGATATAATCAGCCCCCTATCGGTATCGGCCTTAAAACTGAATATCGGACATCGGCCACCCCACCGATATTTAACCCGATATTTGATCAGCTTCTGAGTTTCTAAAGTCTAAAAAAGAAAATAAAAAATACTACTACTTCTTCTTCCTCAAAAACTTCTTTTTTACAGACTTAAAAACTTAAAAAATATTGATCCATTAAAATATCCCAATATCTTCATATGCTGATATATTGCCATTTAAAAACACCATATCAATCTCTTTTACTAATGAAATATTGCTATATGTCATCGTTATGCTACGAAATCCCCCGAAAATTCACCAAATGTTGCCATATTTTTATATGTTGATATATTGACGCGGTATCGATCTATTTTACTAACAAAATCTCACAAGAATTTGCAAAATATCCCGAGAGTTTGTAACAGAACCATGAAATTTCACCAGATTTTGAAAGTAAAATAGATCGATACCGCGTTTTTAAAAATCTATTTGATATCAGCATATGAAAATATATTTGAGTACATTATTTTTCAAAGTGTCAGAAATGGATAACAAAACTGCTATTTTCAATGACTACTTATTTTTGTCCAGCTTTAACATCGGTATCGATATCGGTTATCGGCTACAGGAGTTTTAAAATATCGGCATATCGGATATCGGCCAAAATCCCAATATCGTGCATCCCTAATATATATATATATATATATATATATATATATATATATATATATATATATATATATATTTTTTTTTTTTTTTTTTGACAAAAGACCTGTGAGCTTATAGGCCTTTTTAAATATCAGTGTTTCATGCTGATTGTCTGAACTAAGCCACTAAAATGTCTGCTAATGCTGCAGGTTAGCGCTGCCATCTGTTGTCCAGCTGGGATGCAAATGAGACTCATTCTTACATCACTGTTTAAAGCCTTTACGGACAAACTTTAAGATGAACACATTACTGACTCTGAACTTTCCTTCATCAATTCCAACAACATCAACAAGAACTACAGACTGAACAAAGTGACTTGAGATGATGAAAGACAACTGGTCTGAGGAAAGAGAGGACAGGATCAGTAAAGAGGAGATGATTAGGAGGGGCCTCGAGATGACACAGTGACGAGAAACGGGAAGGAAGATGTTTGTGAGGAAGAGGGTGGAGATCAGGAAGTGAGGGGGTAATCAATAGTGTTGCGCCGATGCCATTTTTTGGCCCAGATACCTGGCTGTGCAGTGTCGGCCGATACCGATACCATAATAATGTAAAATAATTGCCATCATGGCCTCATGTCAAGATGCTGCCTACCTTTGTGAAGCAGGAAAAAATCTAATACAAATTTAATTCAGTAGAACTCTTTATTGCCTACCAGGAGTGGGTGACAATAGTTGAATAAACTTTTGGCTCTCAAAATGGTATCAGTGCCCTATTTGTTGGTACTCGCCGGTGCAACACTAGTAATCAACGTGAGAATATTCTAAGCATGAGGAGACAAAGACTACGGGAGGGTAGAGTCAGGATGGAATTAAAACAGGTCAGAGATTAGAGGATGATGGGTTTAATTTTGGGTAAGAAAGGAGAGGAACCACACGATTAGGATTGGGGGAGACCGAGGGAAGAGTAACGGATGCCTTACTATAGACGCTAGTCTTACGGTCTATGGAGTCTGCAAATACTTCTCCGTAGATCATCCAGTATGGCATGTAGAAGATGTTCCGAGCAAGGCGCCATGTAGGTTCCTCATCCGGATGGAGGATCGCCTGCCGAGCTACACCGAAACTCATCAGCACTACCAGCATGATGACTACGAAGTACAACATGTCGATCATCTGTAGACATGCAGGAGACATGACAGAGATTCAAAGGGACAAGTAGAAAATACAGATGTGACGTTTTCCTAGCAGATGATTTATTCAAAACTAAGAGACATTATGCTTCTGTGTAAAAAGACGTTTCCCTTCAAGAATCTAAACAATCTTGATCAACACATCCTCAGATGAACCGGGGATTTCTTAGACGTTGCCTTTGGCTGCTTGTTGACCGTATATTTTCTTTTCACTCCTATTAGAGCTTTGGTTAAACATAAATTTTCGAAGGGTTCGGTTCTGCTTGGTGGCTTCCTACCATCTTCCCGATCATCATGACGTAGGGGCCCAGGTACTTGTTGACTCCAAAGATGTCGAGGACTCGAATGTACCAGAATATGATGTCGACACAGTAGATGACTCGTCCATAGCCCATGGAGGGTTCGCTCTGGAGCCGCAGTAGAAGGCCCAGTATGAAGAGAGTGATGGCAACCAGATCGGTGATGTTCCAGTAATCCTCCAACCACACACTGATCTTCTGTTTTAGCTTTCCTGGCTCCGACATAAGGATCTAAAAGCAGACAGAGGGTCAGGGTTCGAAAACCAAGATACACAAGAAAAGGTCTAAGAGAAAGCAGAATCTGGGTGACAAACCAGCAGGTGTTTAACAGCTACCTGTCTGACTTTCTCCAGGCCCAAAGTGATGATGTAAGAGATGACAATCCACTCCTGCAAAGAAGGCCAGCGTTCCATCTTCACCAGGATGATGTAGTTATAAAGCATGAGATACACCAGGTATGAGATCTGAAACACAATATTCACTTCCTGATCAGTGAGAAGAAGGCCAGTCTGGCTGCTGCAGAAGCTTGCAAAGGTGTAAAATCTGTCAGAGACGAATCGCTGTTAAGCTTTACATCAGGAAGAGGCAAAACCGCTCCTGGAGCGCCACTGTGCTGCAGGTTTACGTAGTGTTGCACCGATACCAAGAACATTTTTTCCGTAAATTCAGTTAATTTTAGTTTTTTTGAGAACACTTATTTACGGTCTCAGTTAGTCTTATTTTAAAGATTACACAAAACTTAGATTTTTTGTTCTAGTTTTTGTTATTTTTTGGTTTTCATAAGCCAGAATAACCTTTATTCAGACATTTAAACTTCAGAGTAGATTTTCTCTTTAAAGTAGGAAAGTTAACTTGCCGTGTTGAACCAGAACTTGGTGAAGGGGGCGTTGTAAAACTCATAGATTTTCCTCCCAATGGGAATCCTCAGGTGCCCCTTCTGGTTCTCCTCTTCATCTCCTTTCTTGGACACAGTGTCCATGTTGGAGGCAGCGTCCTGAAACCAGGGTGTGGTGAATCAAACTGCTTTGCTCTCGTTACGTCTTTTACACTGTTTGTTTTGTACCTTGTTAAATTTGTCCTCGTCTTTAGTGCTCCCAGCCATGTTTTCTCTTGATGAATGGTGAAAAGCTTCATCTCCAAGTCTGAATTCCAAGAGCAGGATGGTGGGTGGGAAAATAATTCCCAAAATCACCTAAGAACCAGTTAAGAAAGACAGAGAGTTCAACAGAAAAAGGTCCAAATAAAGCCATAGTATAAAGGTGCTATCAGGGTCACTCAGGGAGTCGGACTCTTTTTGTTAAGGATTTAAAATAAGGAAACCAATATTTTTTTTCTTTACGATGCAACCAATTGACTTCCATATGTCTGATAATGCTTTTGCTCTTTGTTTTACTTTGTTTTTCCAACCTTCAGACTGTTGCTCTTGCCCATCCTCAGGCATCCCATCCACATGTCAGTCAGCAGCATCTGACTGCAGGTGTGAGCGATGAAGTCTCTGTGCTTGGCAGCTACAGCAAGCTTCAGGCAGGTGGAGTTACTCCAGTTCTTGAGTTCATAGGTCAGCATTTTCATTGCCAGCTGCTCATCGTGTTTGTATGACTGGTCCAGCAGTTCGTAGGCCAGCTGGCCAAACTCCCTACAAAGAAACACAGAAGCACTTTTTCCAGGTTACAGACTTCAGCCAAATTAAGGAGGCATTAGCCGAGATGTGGCTACAGAGACCATCCAGATGTCTTCATCTAGTAAAATAAACCTTAAAGCATTTTTGATCTTGTTTTCAGATTGATATGCAAAGCAAGAGCTTAGTATATCGATAGCTTTTGTTAGTTTATTTCTCTTCTTTTGAGAAAGTTTTACTAAAAAATAAGTGCAATAATCATCTAATTGATACGGCCAGTGGCCTTTTTGTTTTTTTTTTCCTCTTTTCTTATATCACTTCTTTAAGGTGTAGTGGCTGTTTCCTGCCAGCAGGGTCTGCCGTGTGACCTTGATGCAATACTTCCCTGTTGTTAGTTCCTGCATTTCCTTCTACATCACTTCCTCTTCCAGTTCTCCTCTGTTTGGACACACAGCTAATGGCCGCTCTTTGAGGAAGCCTCCTTTTTTAAACCAGGGGCCTTTCCCAATCATTGGCCTCCAACTCGCCACACTCTCCTCTCGCTCCGTTTGGACGTATCTGCAGAGGGTCCGCCATATTAAGTCCCAAGAACGAGTGCCAGTGGCTTCTTAGGCCCTCCACAGCGAGTGAGGATCCTTTTCCCTTTCAAGCAGCACATGCAGCACCAAATACTGGTCGGTATGAAAGACAGGACGTAACTTCCTCGTTTGTATTTCCCACACTCACTGAGTAAAGAGACGCCTAATTAACAAATATTATTTCCCATAGGCTGTAAAAATCATTCTGTGAAAGGGTTAAGAGCTGGTTATCGTCCCGCACCAGTGTGTTGCAGTAAGTTTGTCGCAGATATTTTGGATTTCTGCCCAGTATTGAAGCGTGGTCTGCGCTATGTTATTCCACGCCACAACGCCAGAGGGCCAATCAGGAACTAGCTGTGGGTCTAGATACGGCCGAGGCGGTGAGGAAGTGGGGGCACGTTTGTGCGACAATGGAGGGACATGAGGGCCAAAAAAAGCGGGGATCCAGGTGGAAAAGGGTCCCAGCGTTCTCGCACACCTTGCTCTGCTAGCTGCTCCATCTTGTCAAATGTCAATGTCAAATTTATTTATATAGCACTTTAAAAACAGGTATAAAACTGCACCAAAGTGCTGTACAGGACAAACAATAGTACTAATTAATAAAAACAGATTATCAAAACACTTCAAGTAAATGCCAAAGAATAAAAATGAGTTTTAAGAAGCGATTTAAAATGATCCAGGCTGTGGGTAGATTTAATTTGAAAAGGTAAATTTTTCCATAAAATTGGAGGAACAACAGAAAAAGCCCGATCTCCCTTCCTCTTAAGTCGGGTCCGAGGGACTGTCAGTAATAGCTGATTATTTGATCGTAAGCTTCTGGATACAGAGTGAAATTTTAAAAGGTCCCGAAGATAGGGAGGAGCTAATCCATTTAAAACCTTATAAGTTAATAAAAGAATCTTAAAATCTATTCGATAAAAGACGGGCAGCCAATGTAAAGAGGCCAGTATGGGCCTTATATGGTCACGCTTCCTGGTTCCTGTAAGAAGCCGTGCCGCTGCGTTCTGGATCATTTGAAGTCGCTGCATCTGTGACTTATCCATGCCTCTATATAATGAATTGCAATAATCCAACCGAGATGTGATGAAAGCATGGATAAGTCCTTCAAAGTCCTTAAAACAAAAATAAGATTTAATTTTTGCTAAAATCACCAGTCGTTTTCCACAATGGAGGTCAGACAAACAGAACAAGCCGGTAAGGAACCAAACAGGAAATACGCATAGTGTCTGCAGAAGGGGGGGGGCATATCTGCGTTAACTGCGACACACATGCAGACGACCTGGTTTCTGAGCATAAACCAGCCTTTAGGATGTAGTTATACCCTACATCCTCATCAAGGGGACTCAATTCAGAAGTGAGTGTAGTGAGAGGTAGGTATTGAGTAGTGACCTATAGGGGAGGGTCGCAGGACTCCCTCGTTGACGGCACGGCGGGGTTATGTTGAGCAGTTTGCCTCTTTGCTTGACATCTTTGCCAGGCTTTGATAGCTGGTCTTGTTGTAGCACCCTTTAATGCTTGTAACCTTCTAAAGTGCTACCAGTTTTGTTTAGTGACTTACTGTAGCTGTCACTCAACTTGTGTTTTTGCTTTTAGTTATATTAAGATGTTTCCTGCAACTTTTTGTGTATGGCTAAAGAAAAGCAAACAACTAAAATTGATCTTAGAAACCTATAGGATGAAGGTTTTGATGTTGCCCCCCCCCCCTCCCCCCCTCCCTTAGTCAAGCTATGGTCATAACATAGTGCATTAAGACAAATGCACTTAAGACCAGATGATAATGAGTGCAACTGTTTTACTGCTCTGGCTGATTATTGCATTTAATTCAAGCAGTTTCCTCATTAAATAAGATTATTAATTATCAGAATCTGATCTTGCACTATATAAAACTCCAAAACAAATAAAAAAGACATTTTGGTTTGATCTAAGATTGGTAAGATGGAAAAATAAGCTTTAAAAAAAATAGCCGATCAAAACAGAACTAATGGTCCATAAATAGCAAACAGAACCAGACCTTTGATGGAACTCACTTTGAGTTGTTCTCCAGATCCTGATAGATGTCGTCCACCAGCTCGCTCTGGGAGGACTCGTGAGCCATGGCCTTATAGAGTTTACAGGCTACCAGAGCTTTAGCCATGGCCTCCTCCCCTCTCTGCCACAGGAACAGCGCCATCTTCTGGCGCTTCATCAGTACTGCCCACACCATCAGCTCATGGAAGGGATACTGAAACCTGCTGACCTCAGGGTCATCTACGTCAATATCTACTTCCTCCTCCTTCTTCTTGCTTTTTTTCCCTTTACCCTTTGGTCGTGGCTCATCGTCCTGCAGAATAAACAGAGATCAGAACAGGTGAATGACTTCCTATGTTCAGCATTCGAGTTTATTATCAACGACTTACCTCCATTCCAAGCAGCTTCAGAGCTTTAGGCTGTAACCAAGAAAACACAGAAATGAGAGAGTAGATGTCTGATTAGTTTTCTGTTGTGCTGAATTTCTCATTCAATTCAACACGTTAGGGACCCAGGTCAGAACAAACTGATATTAACTTCTGCCCTCCATCCTGTGGAGCTCTTTCCTCCTTACTCACTCTTTTGAGTCCATACAGGTTGTTGTACAGTGTCCTGAAATTCTTCCTGGTGTAATTGCAGCGGTATGCTCCACCCATTAGGAACTCCAGAACCAGCCCGATGTCAATCAGTGTTATCTGGTAATCAGGAGGAAGATTCCCCTGAAAGAACACACCAATTAATACCAAACAGAACTCAGTGTACATATATAACCTTTGAAGCTAAAGAGTATTCTAAGTGATTCTCTAAAGATGTTTTCTCTGGAGCAAAGATGGGAGTTATTTTAGTTCATATTAGGGGTTCCTGTCCAACACATTCTATCTCTGAACACATCAAACATTGACCTTTGGTTGGAGTGACACATTACATACTTGTGCAACGATAGTATCCTTCTTATCTTTTATCAATATGGGGATGCAGGAGAGTTTGAGGACATTGTGTCACATAACATTTCCTTGATCTTCAATCAAAATTTTAGCCCACAATGTTGCTGTTGGTAGCTTTAGGAGTGTTCGTAACTTTTATGCTGCTGTTTGTTTAGGTTTAGGCATAGAGGTAATTTTTTTTATCCTGCCAAAGCCTCTCATGCACCCTGGCATCAATATATGATGAGAAGGATACCTCTGTTTCTATCTGAAGCGTAGAGAGCTTGACAAGCCGCCAATATTTGACAATTTGGAAATGACTGCCTTGTCCAGTCCTGCTCTCTGGGAAAGTGTATCTTTCAATCACCAAGTTTGGTCTCAGCTCTTCCTGTTGGAAAGACTCTAAACCTTTGACTGTTAGGACTCCAGTCTGTGTGGTCTGTGTTTCTGTGTGTTTGTCTTCCTTCCTCCACCAGGCGGCGCCTGGTTCTGATTCTCCTCCTCACACACCTGCAAGGGGTTACCTCGTTAAAGGAGTGTTCTTAAGCTGCTGATTGCCACGACCTCGACGCCAGAGTGTTTGCCTGTTTTGGGAAGTCATCCTGCAAACTGGATTTTTCGGGGCCTTCTCTCCCTGGAAGGATCAACTGAGCTTCAAACTGAGCTGAGGATCCAAACCACCGGTTTGGATCCACTTTTCCCCGAGGAAACGTTTGAGCTTCATAGTGAGCAAGGGATTCATCTGCACAACAGTCCGTTCAAGTACCGCAGGAAATCTGAGTGGCAGTCAGTCTTTCTCCGTTCATCTACAAACAAACGCATTCTGGGTAACCCTGTCCGCCCTCCTCCGTATGAGACAAACACCGGAACACATTCCTCACCTGCTGGAGTCTAAAAGTAAACCTAATCTCTGGAAACGTGAGTCTGCCAACCTTTTCCCCTCTTCAAGTTCGAGAATCAATTCTCTCACTGAACCTGAACTAACCGCAGTGTCTTCCCCTCACCTTCCAGTTCTGGTTGAGCAGTCTTCAGAGCAACATTGGAACCTCTGCAACACTTCTAAATAAACCTCTTAAACTTTTTCCCTTGTCTCTCTGGACTGGTTTATCTGCATGTGGGTCTGAGCTCTTGATAAAATCATGACATTGATATGACTCACTGGACTCTAGGTTACTTTGATCTACAAAGGAGGAACTGGTCCTGACTGCAAGGTACCCAAGTCTCGCAGCTGAAGAAGAAGCCTAGATCATCAATCCTCCACTGCTGTGATTAACAGTAAGTGTGAGGTGTTTCTGCTGGGTCTGTTCATTAAGGCCAAATTAGGTCAATTTTCCCAGAATTGACCTCGAGTTGAACATTTTGGGTCATCCTTTCCTGCTGAGAATTCCTGTCTTAGATTATGGAAAGATGGTTCTGAGAAGACGTGATAACCTCTCCAAGTTTGGTGGGCAAAAGTAGTTTGCTAATAACTTTCCACTTTGTTATGGTGTTAGGCCAGGGGTCTCAAAGTGGTTCCAGAAAGGGCCGTGTGGCTGCAGGTTTTCTTTCCAACCAAGCAATAGCACACCAGACTCCAGTCATCCCATCAAGTCATCATGTTCAGATTGGACTCACTTGATGAGACGACTGGAGTCTATTGTGCTGTTGCTTGGTTGGAAATTCAGTAGGGCCAGAAACTTCAAAGTAATAACTCAGGTTAAAGCAGAAAACGGGGGCGGCGGCGGCGGTGGGGGAGCATTTATTTATTTGTTATATTTATTTTGGTCACTTTTCTGATCACTGTAGTTTATTCTTTGTCAGTATTTAATAACATAACTCAGGTCTCTTAAGTTATTTTTCTTTAAAACAATTCTGTTATGGTTAAAAAATTTGGTTAAATAAAGATTTAATTCAAAGTCTGTGTTTGTGTTTTTTATTAAAATTAAATCATTTAGCAATATTATAAAAAGTCCAGGCAGAGCTGCACATAAAATATGGTTTCAAATCTTTTCAATAATTATCGATATCGATCAATATGCATTTCTTTTTATCAATAAGCTTTTTTTCTATATCGCCCAGCCCTAGCATTCAGGCCTACTGATTCTGCAGTAGGTTGAATGTTAAACAGTGGAGGAATACAGTGTTAAAGGTGTTTGCTAAATGTGTCCAAAGACCTCAGGTGACAGCACTCACCTTCTTGACATCTCGGACCACAAAGTGCAGCGTGTTTGCAGGTCCCAGCTTCTACAGAGACACATCAAAGAGACCCAAGAATTAAACTCTAAACATCTCCAACTGGACCCTGATCTTTCCGCAGCTAAACCCTAACGCTAAGCGGCACACAATAAAAGGCGCAAAGAGCTTCTCTGTAATCTGAAAATGATATTTCAAAAGCTTTGTGTGTCAGTGGATCACATTAAGGTTAAAGCAGCAGGGATATAAGTGAATATAGAGAACAGAACATCTGCAGCAAAACATAAAGAGCATTTTATTCATACTTTAATGAAGTTTGACTAAATATTTTCTTTAATCAAAATTAAACAGATGTTCTTAGAAATATTTACTCTACAACTTCTAAACATACAAAAGCTCAGCAATCTATCTGAACAGGATGAGGTAACAAGTGGACAGCGGAGCCTGCAGACTCATTAAGACAGTTTTTCTAAAAATGTTTTACTGAACTAGTTGAAATCCTGAATCTCAGTCCCGGCAGAAAGGTGTTACACAGCAGGCATGTTATTTAGTCTTACTGTGTTGTACAGCTCTTCTAAACGTGGTATTGTCAGGAAGTGATGGATGTTGACGCCGTTTTCAATCAGAAGCTTGACAAAATCCACCCTGTCCAACACCAGAGCATCCATCATGGCTTGTTCCAAAGAGTTAACCTGTCCACCGGCAAAACCAGCATCATCATCATAGATTCTCTGCTCTGCTCCAGCAAAGTTCTCTCTACTGGGTGCTGCCAGGATCTTACCCAGTTGAGCAGCTCCAGTTTCCGTGGGTTGGTCTCCTCCGGTGGTTCTGGTTTGGTTTTAGCTCCTTTCCCTTTCTTTCCTCTAGCTTTCCCTTTAGCTGCTGCTGCTGCCGGGCGCTGGGCTGCCGGGCTTTTAGGCCGATCAGCCGTTAAGGCGCTCACAGGCTGGAGACAAGAAATACTGAAGTCAGAAAACACCAACAACCTGAAGGGCGAGTATGGTGAGAACTTACAGGCCAGTGGAGGCCGTAGACAAAGATCTGACTACGAGCGATGTCCACTCGGTTCCAGGCCAGAGCCAGGCTCAGCTGATCGGAGGCAGAAGCATTGGTACCTGAAGTCATGATGTGAGTCACGGTTCATGCCGTCTGATTGTTTAACAACACTTGGCATCATCACCATGGTTACCTTTCAGCAGAGCTGTGAGGATGGACATCTCGATGTCCTGCTGCCCCTCTGAGCCCATCCTGAACACTGTGATCTGCACAAAGAAACAAAAAGGAACTAGAAAGATGCCTTCATAAAGTCCTCAGTCATTCAGGTCTGTAATTACTTTGGAATGGGTTCCATGTCCGAACTACTGAAGCACACTGCTCCTCATTCAAAATGGCTGAACACATGAAGCAAAAGACGACTGGGTCTTTGATTTGCGTCTGAGTTGGAATGTGCTGAGGAGGACGGACGTCCATGTTCTTTAAAACATTAGAGCTCCAATTTACAGCCTGTTTTAGTGAAATCAGACACAGCTGACAATGACTCCTGGATAAGTGTTGAAACGTCTTCAGAAAAACTGAGGGAAAGTCCAGTTACCTCCGATTTAAGCCTGTTTCCATAAATATTTAAGACAAACTCCCTGACTGCACCAGTCCTTTAAAAAATAGGTTTCACTAAACAGAAGCATGTGGAGAAGAATTAACGCTAAACATAATTTTATGTTTTTTTGAAGTTGGATCATCCTTAAAGTTTACGTCACACTTATCCAAAGTATCCGAAGGGTGCTGGTGTCTACGGGCAAGAGGCGGGGTCCACCCTGGACAGGTCTCCAGTCCATCGCAGGGCAACACAGAGACAAACAAGACAAACAACCATTCATTAACACCTAAGGAGAATCTAGAGAAGCCAGTTAACCTAACAGTCGTGTTTTTGGACTGTGGGAGGAAGCTGGATCTGCCCAGGCCTTCAGAGTCACCTTAACAATATTATTGAGGAATGTTTTCCTTAACCAATCACATTTCAGATTTGGTCCACAGGACCAGCAAGCAGGCCCAAACTAATGTTTTTGTCATGATCTGGCCTGTTTGCTCTCCCTTAATTAGTCATTCCTTTCACCTGTCGATTTCCCTCCCTGCCTCAATTATAATTTATTCCTCTCACCTGTTTCCTCTGGGTTTTATTCAGTTCAGCCTGAGCATTCAGTGCCAGATAATTAACAGTTTTTCTGTTAGTCTGTCTGTTCAGTTTTATTTCTTGGTTCATGTCCTGGATCCTGGCGGCCAGTGGAAAAAGGGTTTTTGTGTTTGTCTCGTCTCCTGATTGTCCACTGTTCCTCCCCCACTGAGTCCTCTGGGTTTTTGGCTCATTATGCGGGGAGGTTCAGTTTTTATCCTGTAAGCCTGGCTCCAAGGTGGAGACCACTTTAAAGGTCCTGCATCAAGTTCTGGTTCCACGTCCTGTCTCGGTTACCCTCTTCCACTGAGCCTGCCCGTCTGCACCTGATCCTGTCTGCTCCTGTGCGTGACCACCTGGTCATGCTTCTGGTCCCAGTCAGACTCTGAACCCGCCTGGGAGCTCTTTGATGCTTGGAAGCCTGGATCCTGCCCCTTGTCTGTTCCAGCCTGATCTGGATCCTGTTCCTGTCTGTTTCTGCCTGATCTGGATCCTGTTCCTGTCTGATCTGGATCCTGTTCCTGCCTGATCTGGATCCTGTTCCTGTCTGTTCCTGCCTGATCTGGATCCTGTTCCTGTCTGATCTGGATCCTGTTCCTGTCTGTTCCTGCCTGATCTGGATCCTGTTCCTGTCTGTTCCTGCCTGATCTGGATCCTGTTCCTGTCTGTTCCTGCCTGATCTGGATCCTGTTCCTGTCTGATCTGGATCCTGTTCCTGTCTGTTCCTGCCTGATCTGGATCCTGTTCCCGTCTGTTTCTGCCTGATCTGGATCCTGTTCCTGTCTGATCTGGATCCTGTTCCTGTCTGTTCCTGCCTGATCTGGATCCTGTTCCTGTCTGTTCCTGCCTGATCTGGATCCTGTTCCTGTCTGTTCCTGCCTGATCTGGATCCTGTTCCTGTCTGATCTGGATCCTGTTCCTCTCTGTTCTGAATCCCTGACCAGGATCGGCTTCCTGCAAGATCTCTGGAACTGCAGCTCAGGGGACATTCTTGGACTGGACTGTTTAACCAGGTAAGTGACCAACTCAGACAATCGTCTTCTGTCAGATGATCGTGGTCACTTACCTGTGTTTCCCCCTTAGAGTGTCTGAGATTGGGCGGTGCCCTGCCCCCCTCCTGCAGTGTCCGTGAGCCTCAGCTCCACTTCAGTTTTTGTTTTGTTAATAAACGTTTTGAACTTTCCTACTGACTGTCTCTCCTTGAATACTGGGTCCATCTGTCCTCGGTTTCTTGACAGTTTTCTGTCCTCTAATCGGTCAGTTAATGTGAAATGTTTGCAGCCAAGTTAAGCTAGCGACAATCTGCATATTAGATTTGCTTTTTAAAAAGTTTTTCTGGCCTCAATGGCTCATACTAAAAGGAGAAACTAAGACTTTCTGCACAAAGACGGAAGGTTGGATTTAGTTTATAAATAATCAGCACCTCTGGTGAGTGTGACATATTTTATTTTCATGCTATATGTGCTATTTTATCTGGTAATTAGATGCATGTTGAATCTGAATGGCGAATGATGATGTAAATGGCGCAGATTTCTGGTTATAGAGTGGGAATTGTGGTTGTCTTAAGTGGGCTTCTTGCTTCATTGATCTGTAATCTTCCTTCCTCTTGGTTATTTATACCTGTGCTTGTTACATTTCATATTTCAATACTGTAGTTTATTTCATTTCTCAAAATGGGAAAGTGGTGATATTAACACCTTGTTGAGGGGTGCCCACTGAAGGCCTGGGTACCATTTGCACCACTGGGTACACCATTATCTCATGGGGGAATAGTTGATAAACCTGCAGCTTTCATTTGAACCAAAAGCTTTGTGGAAATTTTCGGAGACCCAGATGATACTCGGCCATAACACTTATCCCAAAAGTTCTCCTAAGAATGTGCAGCTGGGTAATGATTTTAGTTCTAGGAACCACAGGACAGCAGCTTTGGACCCGTAGAAAAGAACCAGGCAGGTCATTGACAGCAGGAACGTTCAGTTTCTTCACCCGTTAATGGTATTATGGAGATTTGTGTTTTCCTTAAACATAAAAATAGATAAAACTTCAATGGAAAATAAGGAATCAAGAAAAAGTCTAATGAATAAAACATTAAGCATCCTGACTGTAGCCAAATACCAAATAATCAGATTAAAACCAATCCATGATGTCGTTCTTCTCCAGATCGCTGAACGATACTCTGCAGATTTTTGTGTTGACTTTTGTAAGCAGGAGACGATAATGCATGTTGTTCTAAATGCAAACATGGATGTTGCACCTGTGGGGGCTCTGTGGACCATGTGGCGCTGTTAATCTGACAGCAGATCAGTTTAAGTGAATGGACGCTCAGATTGTTTTACATGCCGCTCAGTCTGCTGCCACAGCTGTACTCTGGAAGAAGCCGCCTCGGATTGTGGGATTAAATAAATGGACGGAACAATCTCAGTTAAGTGCCGCATCAAATGTAAAACCTTGATCATTATGTTAATGTTGCAGGGAGCAGGTCAGAACCCGGCTCACATCCAGGACAGTATGGACTCACATCATCCCTGCATCACATGGGCCCTGCTGTCTAACTCTGAAGAAGCCAGCTCTGCTATATTTACCTGACAGTTTTCCAATGTTTTGGAAATATTGGGAACATGATCGTATCCATTACCCCCCCCCCCCCCCCCCCCCCCCCCCCCCCCCCCCCCAATATTAGAAGGATATCAGCAACCGATAATAACCTGTAGGGGACTTTTAGTACATTTAGTATTTAATCAATCCAAAGTATTAAATTAAAACTAAAAGAAATCTCCTGGTATTAGTAGATTTATTAGAATGGATTTCTAATTAGCTTATTTCAATTCTTAAAAGTCCTATATCGATTATTTCAAAGTCACCTGTCTGCAAGAATGTATATATATATTATAGGGTGACCAAACGTCCGTATTTCACGTCCTGTCCCGGGCGTCCCGGGTTTTTTTTAGAAAGTGAGGAAATGTCCTGATTTTTTAAAATACTGCGCACGACGCTCCGTGTGACGTAATCCCTGAGCCGCGTCAGTGCGGGCAGCCCTGTTCTTAATCAGAGGCTCTGTTCGAAAACCTGGGCTGCATCCTCCAAGGACGCGGTCTACCTAGACTAGATCCTCCAAGGACGCGGTCTACCTAGACTAGATCCTCCAAGGACGCGGTCTACCTAGACTAGATCCTTTCGAAGTCCTTGAAAATAAGGAGGCCGGAAGAGTTCTGTCTGTAAATTCGAACAGGTCTACCCTTCGGCGGGTTTTACCGGCGTATGCTCTGTTGCTTAGCAACCGTGAAAGTTGACACACAAAGCAGGAAAAGAATGAATACCGAGGTTTTCAAAACTGTTTGTTTATTTATTTATTTTAAAAAAAGTTAAAGCGAACAAAAACTACACTCACAAGAATCCAGAATGGAATAAAGGTTCCAACCACCGGGAGCAGGAACAAATCAAATCAAATAGAAACCTTCGTCAGTTAAATAACCTGCTGCTGTCATTCTGCACATCTCTGATGTTGCTGCTATTTTCAAATATCCATTACTGTAAAAATGTCCATAGCTGCATATTGGTTATTAATTCTCCAGTTTTATATTGTTGAAACACTTTACAGTATTTTATTGTTTATATTGTAACTCTTCCCTATTATGTTATTCTTATACATTTTTCTAAGGTCCACATTTGTGTGACTATTTTCAATAATCTTTCTGCTGCTGTAAATTTGCCCATTGTGGGACAATAAAGGGATTTTCTATTCTATTCTATAAAAGGGTTAGAAATACATAAGTAAATCTAAACAATGTATGTATAAAAATATATCAGCAAAATCTCTAATATTCAACAACAAAAAATACTTAGTTAAGCATATTGTGCAAAACAACAATAAAAAAATTAAACTCCTATCAGATTTATAGTTCCCACTCTGCAGATCTATTAGAATCTGTCCTTTAATTACAGCCAAATCCATTTACACAGTAACAGATAAAAACCTTTAGATAAATCAAACATTACCGCCACATATCTGACTCAATAACCATTAAACAACTATTTTCATTCATTTCAGATGGAACTATTCACTGACTGGATTATATTAAACTGAACTTCCAATTTTCACCACTGTTCTGCGCCAATTAACATTTCCTCTGATCACGGAGCAAATCCCCATGATGACACATTTGTTCACCGCTCCAAGGTGTCCTGGTTTTCCCAAATGAAAATATGGTCACCCTATATATTATATTTCCTATAGTACTGCATATTATAATAAAAATAGTTGTTTTTCTCTTTTGTCTGGACGCTGCAACTCACCGCATTGCAACACTTCTGTAGGCCGAACAAAGTTAAAAGCATTTGATGCTGAGATCCACATCATTCAGACTGAGCTATAGGCTGCGGTTCTTGTTTTCTCTCATGCTGACAGCGGCTGCCGTACCTCCTGCTCTCTCCTGAAACAGGTTTGCCTCTAGGCTGTGTAGAAGGTCCTTCTTATTTCACAGTTTAAATCATCAATATGGGTGAGAGTTTGTAAGGTAGATGGTGACAGAGTTGGTGTGGAGACACTGTGACACAGAGATAGGGAATCTTCTGAGTATCTGGATATTCACTGGATTAAAAAACCGGACCGGAACCGGAACACTGGTTCCAGGATTCCCAGGGTTTGCTGCTGGAGGCCTTAGAGAGAACGCAGGGCAGACCCTCAGAGGTCATCAGCTGTCAAAGATGAGAGATTTGAGGGTTTGCTGTGGAACTAGAGGACCATTAGGAGGATTTGTTCAAAAAACTCCATGTTTGTGTTTGTGGTGAAGGACAGAAAAGCCTTTTTTCTTCATATCAATCACATCTTAATAGAGTCTAATCAGTCTTCTGCAAACTTGGTGATCCAGGATAAAAGTTCTTGCTGCAGTTTTTTACATCTTTGGGGATGTTTTCCCTCTCAGATGATCATCCTGATCCTGTAGGAGATAAGATTAGATTCTGGTTCTGACTGTAAATATGGACAGGACAGGCCTGCAGTTTTCCTGCAGCCATTAGAACACATTTATCTTACTTTAATTATTGTCATTCTTGTTTTAAAAGGTAAAAGAGAATTTGGCATCTGTACCACCTCAGATAAAGAGGATATCATGTAATGTCTAATATGGAGTGTTTCATCACAACTTTAAACAGATGAGCGCTAATAAAATGCTTCAGTTAGATTTATTCAATCAGAATTCCTCCAAAGATCTAGGTAGATGTCTCCACTGTAGGATTATTATCCCAGTGTTTAGATCAGGAATGAATGAATGATGACACAGACAAGATGAAGAGGTTTATTTTTGCTTGATGAGAATCGAAGGGGCTGAACAGCAGGATGCAGCAATGAGAACATGTGGAGCTTCTCTGTCCTACCAGAGCTTTCTTCTTCATGCACTCCATAACCATCAGATAGATCTGCTGAGCCTGACTGTGGCTGTAGTTGAAGGTTTTCTGGATGGTGACCAGCAGCTGATCTTTAACACTCTCGTTCACCAACCTGCTGGAGCAGAACACGATGTTGAGGAGAAATGAAGAAGGTGAGAGAACATCCTGAGTTAAAGGAAGAGAAGTTCTCACCCGTCCTCCTCACAGTATCTATGAGCAAAGGAGATGATGTCGGAGGCTCGGCCGCTTCCGTCACAAACCACGACTGGGACAGGAGGCTCCTCTTTCAGACTTTCCATCACAATGGAGATGACGTTTGGACCCCCCTCTAGGATCAGACAGACCACCGGGACCCCCTGACCCAAACCTGATAACAGAACATGTTGCCTGTCAGAACGACACAGTCAAATCTCAAACCTACTCAAACTGTTAATACTTTTTAAAAGGGTCATAGAATGCAGAGTTTCCACTGTCATAGATGAATAACAACAGTTCAGGGGTCGAAATGGACGTACAGAGAAGTTCAAACCCCATCAACTCCTCCTTTCTCTGCTAATCTCACTATTGTAAATTTCCACCATAAAACGGGCGAATCCAAACGAAGCAACAAGTTGACGTAAACTCTGGGATGTTGCCTTATTTGGTTCTGGCCTGTAATTTTATCACGCCCTGAAATTAGCATCCAGACCAGCCCACTGGTTCACTGGGCCAGGAACATGAATAGAGGAAGATGGAAGACAGCAGCTTAGCTGTTTAGCCTACAGTTGGGTTTACTGCTACAAGAATTACAAAACAGGAAGTTTCTCTATTGAAAATGAACCAGAACCACGGGTGGAAATGCATCGTTCCAGGCTGACCGGAGGAAGGGGAACATTTTTCATAGTATTCCCAAGGATCCGAAGACTCAACAGGCATGGATTATTTTTGTGTATCAGAAGATCCGCCACTCGTCCTCAGGCGGAGGAGGGGGGCTGAGGGCCGGTAAAGCAGGGGGGGAGAAACACGGGGTCGCCGGTGTCCAGGCTACCGTCACCAGGTCGAGTTCGGTCGCTCCGTCCCCCACTGGCTCCCTGCCCCCTCCACCAGGATTCCCGGACCAGCCCCCGAAGCTGACGGCTTGGTTCCAGTGCCCATTGTGTTTCAACTACAGGCTGCACTGTAGGCGACCAAAATCCCAGATGACTTTGAAATTCCCTTCGGACATTTTTGTAGGTCTGAAAAGTAGAACATGTCCGGGAAAAAGAGGACGTCTGGTCCCCCTACCATATCAACAATCTGATGTATCAGTGAGTGAGTGCTTGTTGCTATGATGCGTCTTTGCTCAGCAGCTTCGCTCGTTGTAAACCAACCAATCAGAGCACAGCTCATCTAAATATTCATGATCAAACCATGAAAGGAAGAAAACCTGTGGTTTCATTCTAGGGCTTTTAACCAGGCTGCATTAGGGCTCATAGAACAGCTAATATGCCATTTTCAGCCCAACCAATGTTACACACCCTATTAGAGACCTGAAAGACCAGATACCCTATAGAATCATTTTATCACCCTATTAGAGACCTGGAGGACCAGATACCCTATAGAATCATTCTATCACCCTATTAGAGACCTGAAGGACCAGATACCCTATAGAATCATTCTATCACCCTATTAGAGACCTGAAGGACCAGATACCCTATAGAATCATTCTATCACCCTATTAGAGACCTGAAGGACCAGATACCCTATAGAATCATTCTATCACCCTATTAGAGACCTGAAGGACCAGATACCCTATAGAACCATTCTATCACCCTATTAGAGACCTGAAGGACCAGATACCCTATAGAATCATTCTATCACCCTATTAGAGACCTGAAGGACCAGATACCCTATAGAATCATTCTATCACCCTATTAGAGACCTGAAGGACCAGATACCCTATAGAATCATTCTATCACCCTATTAGAGACCTGAAGGACCAGATACCCTATAGAATCATTCTATCACCCTATTAGAGACCTGGAGGACCAGATACCCTATAGAATCATTCTAACACCCTATTAGAGACCTGAAGGACCAGATACCCTATAGATTCATTCTATCACCCTATTAGAGACCTGAAGGACCAGATACCCTATAGAATCATTCTATCACCCTATTAGAGACCTGAAGGACCAGATACCCTATAGAATCATTCTATCACCCTATTAGAGACCTGAAGGACCAGATACCCTATAGAATCATTATATCACCCTATTAGAGACCTGAAGGACCAGATACCCTATAGAATCGTTCTATCACCCTATTAGAGACCTGAAGGACCAGATACCCTATAGAATCATTCTATCACCCTATTAGAGACCTGGAGGACCAGATACCCTATAGAATCATTATATCACCCTATTAGAGACCCGAAGGACCAGATACCCTATAGAATCATTCTATCACCCTATTAGAGACCTGAAGGACCAGATACCCTATAGAATCATTCTATCACCCTATTAGAGACCTGAAGGAGCAGATACCCTATAGAATCATTCTATCACCCTATTAGAGACCTGAAGGACCAGATACCCTATAGAATCATTCTATCACCCTATTAGAGACCTGAAGGACCAGATACCCTATAGAATCATTCTATCACCCTATTAGAGACCTGAAGGACCAGATACCCTATAGAATCATTCTATCACCCTATTAGAGACCTGAAGGACCAGATACCCTATAGAATCATTCTATCACCCTATTAGAGACCTGAAAGACCAGATACCCTATAGAATCATTCACATCCTATTAGAGACCTGAAGGACCAGATACCCTATAGAATCATTCTATCACCCTATTAGAGACCTGAAGGACCAGATACCCTATAGAATCATTCTATCACCCTATTAGAGACCTGAAGGACCAGATACCCTATAGAATCATTCTATCACCCTATTAGAGACCTGAAGGACCAGATACCCTATAGAATCATTCTATCACCCTATTAGAGACCTGAAGGACCAGATATCCTATAGAATCATTCTATCACCCTATTAGAGACCTGAAGGACCAGATACCCTATAGAATGATTCTATCACCCTATTAGAGACCCGAAGGACCAGATACCCTATAGAATCATTCTATCACCCTATTAGAGACCTGAAGGAGCAGATACCCTATAGAATCATTCTATCACCCTATTAGAGACCTGAAGGACCAGATACCCTATAGGATCATTCTATCACCCTATTAGAGACCTGAAGGACCAGATACCCTATAGAATCATTCTATCACCCTATTAGAGACCTGAAGGACCAGATACCCTATAGGATCATTCTATCACCCTATTAGAGACCTGGAGGACCAGATACCCTATAGAATCATTCTATCACCCTATTAGAGACCTGAAGGACCAGATACCCTATAGAATCATTCTATCACCCTATTAGAGACCTGAAGGACCAGATACCCTATAGAATCATTCTATCACCCTATTAGAGACCTGAAGGACCAGATACCCTATAGAATCATTCACATCCTATTAGAGACCTGAAGGACCAGATACCCTATAGAATCATTCTATCACCCTATTAGAGACCTGAAGGAGCAGATACCCTATAGAATCATTCTATCACCCTATTAGAGACCTGAAGGACCAGATACCCTATAGGATCATTCTATCACCCTATTAGAGACCTGAAGGACCAGATACCCTATAGAATCATTCTATCACCCTATTAGAGACCTGGAGGACCAGATACCCTATAGAATCATTCTATCACCCTATTAGAGACCTGAAGGACCAGATACCCTATAGAATCATTCACATCCTATTAGAGACCTGAAGGACCAGATACCCGATGGAACCATTCTATCACTATTTAAAAAAGAAGATCAGGATGTTGGCTGATCAGTGGTGCATTGGGTAGCACTGCTGCCTTGCAGCAAGAAGGTTCTGGGTTCGATTCCTGGCTCGAGGCTTTCAGCATGGAGTTTGCGGGTACTCCGGCTTCTTCACACAGTCCAAAAACATGACTCCTAGGTTAATTGGCTTCTCTAAATTCTCCTTAGGTGTGAATTTGAATGGTTTTTTGTCCTGTTTCTCTCTGTGTTGCCCTGTGATGGACTGGAGACCTGTCCGGGGTGGACCGCCTCACCTCCATTGACAGGCACCAGCACCCCTCCCTCACTACCCCAGCAGGGATAAGCATGATGGAAAATGGATGGATGGATCAGGATTTGATCCCAGAATGTTTGACTAAATCAGACACTTAGAATCAATGAATGTTGGATTTATTTTCTGAATTGTTTTAGCACTTTACATCAGAGTAGTTTAAAAACATTTTTTTTTCCTCTTTTGAAGTTCTTCAAGATTAACTTCGGTCCTCAAACATAAATCCATCCTTAACAGTGATATCATTGCATCATTTCATTGGTAACAATTTTAGCAGTTTTCATAAATCTATTAAATTTAGCTGAGTTTCACATATTAAATGAGAGTTTTAACTGAATGTATTTAACCTGGAGTTGAATTTTGGTATTACTTTCTTATATTTTGAGTAGACATTGTTGTGAATTTAATCCATATTTGCAGAGTTTGCATTTTGAGTTTGATCAGACTCAAATTCACTCTATCTTCTCCTAACAGGAAGCATTTTAGGTGACAGACTAAGTTTTTCAAATTAAGTGTTAAATAACATAAAGGAAATAACTAAAGGTGCGAAAAAAATTTGTTTATCTGTATGATGTCACTGACTAAATAGATTTTTTCACCTCATCTGAAGGTGAAAGTGTTTTTCTACATTCTTCTTGTTTCACACGGTTATTATCTTTCTGTAAACCTGCTGCTTTTCCTATTTTAACCTGAATATTTCGCATCTTTGCCAGAATGTGTTTTTAATATAATTAATAACCAAAAACTTTATTTTCTTTTAAAGGATTTTTTTCTCTTCTGCTGTAAGATTAACATGTAAAATGTTGCTATTTTTCATAATCTTTCGTTGTTTTTGTTCCTGTAAGCTTTATTATCTTTACTTTGCAGCCACACACTCAAACATCCACACTACTGCACAATATATGCTTATTGTTATCTGATTTTATTGGGATGGGGTGGATCTGCAGTATTTTGTCTCTCTCTGGTGGACTGGGCTCGTTGCGTAACCTTTACTGGTTTTGGTCAGTGTCTGGCTGTCCTGGTTATTGGGGATCGGTAGTAAGAGGTGACAGCTGAGCCTCCCTTTGCTGTCCCTGCCTTACAGACACCACCAGGCATAGGATGACAAAGGGAAACCCACAGGTCACATGATTGGTCACATGAGCAGATGACTTTTGTTGGGGCTGTTTCGGAGTCACCCGACTCACGTGTATTGATCTTCTGCAGGGAGATGTGCTTTTCAAGCTGCCGGCGAAGGCGGACCTCAGCTCCGTATTTGCCCGTCGTCCCATTGTCAGACAAGATGAAGTGTGAGTGGCTGCTGTTCAGGACCGACAGCTTGCTGAGTGGGTTGGACATGGTCTGATAGGGGCATGTCACCTGAAAAACAGCGACGGTTCTGTCTTAAAAGAAGTTGTCATGGCAACGTAACTCGACATAGTAATTCCTATAACTCCTTATAGAATACTTGCCATTGCTAAATGGCAAGTATTCTTGCAAGTAAATTGTTAAATGCTTCATCACGGAATCTCTCACCTAGTTGCCTTAAAGAAGGTTGCCACCTAACTTGTAATGACTCACCTAAGGGTTTACACAATACAATGTGGGCCAGAAGAATTCCAAGAACTGTCACCGTTGTTTGGTATTTATTGTATGAATCACTTATGTTTATGATCAATCAATTAGACTTTTCTTACATCTCTCCCAATCAGGTCCTCTTTGTTCTCAACAATTCCCCAGGGTGCGATACCAATGGCGCAGACCTTTCCTCTGGACTTGGATGAATGGTCTTTGAGAGCGTCTCCGACATGACGGATCACTCCTGCAACACCAAACAGGAAGCGTTAACAGAGGGGTGGATTTAGAGTAGAAAAGCACAGCTGTTGATAGGACGAGCTGGCTAATAGCAACTGATGGCTGTACCTGTGCTGACTCCACCTGTGAAGATCCAGGCTCCAGTGGTGACAGCAGCTTTGATCAGCCCCTTTCCAAAGACTTGCTTTAGTTTGGGGGGAAGGTCAAAGTTTTGAAGCCCTCCATGGATGGAGATTAGCAATGTAGGCAGCTCCAGCTGCCACTCTTTCACCATCAGGTGGAGGAGAGGGTCTGGCTTGGAGTCATAGGAGACCCTGATGTACTGCAGGAGGGATATGAAAGGAAAACTCTGTCAGATCTCCTACATGTTTGTCCCAATAGAACCGCTGGGTTTCCTACTACCATTGCTTTGTTGACATGTCCGCCTCCCTGGAACTCGAGTACCCCGTAGGCGTCGGTGGCGGACGTCTGCGTGTGTTTCAAGGCACTCCATCGTTCTGTAGGATGGACGTCCAGTTGAACCAGCTGGGCCGTTTCCTCACCTGCCCCTGCTGGGATGGGGGGGTGCTGTGCCACCAGCTGACCACAGCTGCACCTGGACACAGCAGAATAAAAAGGAATATGTATGAAGGTCCATCAAAGACAAGGCGATTCAAAACCTGTCATTCAGTGAAAGGGTGGAGTCACAGTAAAAAAAATATGCCAGAGGGGGTCACTCCAGTGGCTGGAAGTTGGAGGGGATTTCCCTTGGAGTTAGAGGAATATGGGCGGCCATTTTGCTGGCGTTTTACGGGGAGGGGCCATTTTGAATGGCTGCTACTGTAATGTCTAAACCAGGGGTCACCAATTAAAAATAAGCGGGGGCCGAATAAAGAAACCATCAACCAGCAAAGGTCCATTTTTAATGATCTGTTACTTTAAACAGAATTTAACACTGAAATAAAATGAGGTGTTTATGCATTGATGAATTTTTAAATAAAAAAAATTAAACTACTTTCTTAAATTAACTAAAGAAAATAGACTGAAAGAAATGGATATGAATCTGAAAATTTTAAATCTAAAACTGCAATAAAGAAAAGAAATAAAAAGAATAACTGTAATTAAAATAATAAACTGAATTAGGAGTTTTTTTAAGCTGAGGGGAAAAATTTAGATTAAATTCTTATTATTTTATAATCGTTTCTTATAGTTTTTCCGGTTATAAGTAAAAACTGGACATTCAATATCAACTTGTATTTTTGAGGTTTCAATAATTCAACAATTAAGTTTACAATAATTGTTCCCCCTCTCTGACTCCATACTTTCCTACCCTGGATAGTGTCATTGTTCGCCCTGCAAAAGGTAAAAGGAGCTAAGAACAGCAGGTAGGAGCTACGATTTAAGGCAGGAGTGACCAATCAGCAGCGTCCAAAAAATGAGAATCATCAACCAGTAAAGGTCTGGAGACATTTTTAATGATCTGTTACTTTAAACAGAATTTAACACTGAAATAAAATGAGGTGTTTATGCATTGATGAATTTTTAAATAAAAAATTATTTAAAAAAAATCATTGGCTAATTTGGATCACGTGCAGCCTGGAGCCGGACGCTTTACCGTATTAACAGGAGAAGAGGGGCAGGTGAAGTTAGACAACTTGGGATAATTCATAAATGTTTTAAATCAGGTTGGGTCCAGATTAGGCAGCAGGTGGATCCGGATCCGGACCGCGGTCCGCTAACCCGTGACCTCTGGTCTGGACTCTTACCGCTGTAAGACCTGGGGAGTCTAAATGCCTCCAACCCGAGCAGAAACTTAAAACATGTTTCAACCCAAAATCAGTGAACGCTTTATGGACCAACAGTAGAATTTTAAAAGGTAAGAAAGTAATTCTATCTACTAAGAAGGAAAAAGTTCATTGATTTAAGAAGTAGTTTGGTCCAGGTGTTGGCAGGACTCTGGAGCAGCAGTTTGGGAAAAGCTCCTGCTGTCTGGACTCTTACCACTGTAAGATCTTGGGAGATCTGCTGGTTTTATATACAGAATGAAGAACTCCGGACAATAAAGGACGGCAGTACTGCATTCTAGATCCTGATGGACCCGAGAAACTGTCATTTTTAAATGACTGTTGACTTCTGTAAAAGTTTAAGAAACAATCCACTGGACTTGGTTTCCAAGGTTTGAAGATGTTTCGCTTCCCCTCCAGGAAGCTTTCTCAATTCAAATGTCTGGATCCGTGAAACGTCTTCAAACCTTGGAAACCAAGTCCAGTGGATTGTTTTTTAAACTTTTACGGAATTGATTATGACCTGGATGACTGAGGATCTTCATCAGATGACTGTTGACTTATTCACTCAAACCCTTAATGCAGATTGGATCTGATGACAAATTACTCCCATGTGGTCTTAATTCCCACTGAGTCTTCCACAAAAATGGCCCCTTTTCTATCTGCATGAGGCTGGAGAAATTTTTGACAAGTCCTGTCATTGGCTTTATGGGCATTCTTAGCATGTTAGCATTGGGTTTCTAGGTGAACATTGATGTAACAGGATGTGCTTTAGTACCCTGACCAAGGGGAATTATTTTGATGTTCAAAAACAAGGAGTCAAGGTGTTTAATTTTACTTGTTGGGTTTTAAGCTCTACCTTTAGTTAGTAGAAGTTTCAGGATGATAAATCCTTTCCTCTGCAGAAAAGGTCTCCGTCGCTTTATTCAGTAAAACGACCGGAAGAAATAAAGCCAAAGACTTAGACCCTCATGAGGATGTTAAGCTTATTTGGTTTCTTCTTTCTACAGAAATTCTGCTCTTCTCCTTCTCTCTGAATGGGAGAGTTAACTCCTTCCTTGGTCATGGCTGCTATAAGCAGATACATCGCAGAAAATCCCAAACATGTGACCCGATGCCTGCTCAGCTGTCAGCCGACTGACCAACAGTTACCCCACACATCTGTAAAAATGTTATAGACATTTATAAGCATTTATTGTACATTCAACACATGCATGCTAAAATATTTTGGTTATTATTTGAAGTGAAATGTTGCAAATAATAAACACTGAATGAAATCTATAGTTGGACATCTTAGCTTGACAATGAACTGTCTCTTGTTTGCCCTTAGTTAGTGCAAAATAAATCCCTATTAATAAGTTATAACATGTTTACAGATTCATTTAGAACCTTTCTGTAAATTGATTATTAGTCGTCTATAAGGGAGCCTTCATGTAAAGTGGTCCAGAACATTTTGGTGGCATCGTTTTACCTGCTGGCATCTTTGCTGGGAATGATCTGGATGCATTCTCTCTTCTGGAAGGTTCTCTCGATCCAGGCTCTGTGAACCTAAAGAGGAAACATTCGTGCATAAAGCAGATTATAATGTGTTGTTGCTCAGTTACGCAGATGGAGACGGATCTGCTGCTCGGTTTTTAACAGCACAACTCCATTAAGTTTAAACATTATAAACACTAGAGTTACTGCTGAGAGGATCGGGCTAATTTCTGGGTGTTTAAGTTTTTATTTTTTCCATTTTTCATTCATTAATTCCTCTTAATCTGAACCTTAATCCTGCTCCTGCACAGAGAAATACAGAGCTGCCCGTTAAAGCTCTGATTCCTGTGTGTTTAACCCTGCATGGTCCTCACTGACTGACTTCCTGCACTTCATCAAATCTCTGCACTCCCGATGATGGAGGATTACCGTCTGAGTGGCACATGGCCTGCAGGGTTATTGTCTTTTTCACGTGAACAAAGACCATCATCATCAGCATCATCATCATCATCATCATCATCATCATCATCATATTCTTCCCATATCACCTATCAGAGGCTGGGGGCAGAAACAGGGCTGCTCCTCCTAAAGGGTTAAATCCTGGATAGATTTCGTTCTAATGCTGAATTATTACTTTAAGATGGAGTAAATTCATACAATTTTCCTAAAAAAATTAAATGTATATATATATCTAGATATATCTAGATATATCTTTTTTTTTTTTTTAATCCTCTGTTTTAGACCTGGATTATAAAAATTTTACCATTAAAGTTTTCTTACTGACTGGATGTCAAACCAACCTCTGTGCTGCTTCCACGCTCAGCTCAGATGAAAAGAAACATCCATGTGGTTCCCTCCACATCCAACCGATCCTCCTGACTTCCTGTGCAGTCGAACCCGGGCCGCCGGGGCAGCCCTCTGTGGTTCTATGCAGACCAGACTGAAGGTCTGAGAAGGTTGGTTTCTGTCTGCTGGAGCAGCTGCAGGTCTGTGAAGCTCTGAGTCTGGCTGTGGAATCTGGGTGAAACTTTGGGACCAGTTGACTTAATGTAGCTGAGCAGCTTCATGTGACCACCATGTGAGGCATCTGGCCTCTTTGTTGGAGCTGGTCTCATGACTCTGAGAGTCTCATGACCTGTTTACTCGGAACACAAGAGCGTTTCTGAGCTCCAAGTGCACAAATCTGCTTAACGAAATCATCCAAAAAAACTTCAGCCTCTAAACCCTGAACTGCTGACCTGAAAGTGCTCCGGTCTCTTCCATCCAGATGTGACCAGATGAGACCTGCAGCTGATGAACAGAAGGATGAGTTTGATCCGACTGGACTGAATATCTCTGATGGATATAGATAAGAACATCAGAAGAACTCCAGTGAAGATCAAATGATCTGAGGAGCAATCCATTGTCCTGAAGGGCAGCTCAGCGCCCCCATCACCAGCAGACATAAACAACACGACCACATAGACCAAATCATGAAATGATGCACAGGACACGTAAATATCTGGAATCAAGCAGGTCCTGTTCAGAACAGACGGTGGGCATCAGGTCTCTGTATGCTGAGGTTCTGCTGACACATCAGCTGGTCTCATTACTGCATCCAGGAAGGTTCTCTGTACCTGAGCTGTTCAGCCCCGTTTCTGAGAGTAAGGTTGATCTTTGAAGATTTCTATTTCCATCTTAGCCTCAGACAAATTAGTTCTGGATCACATAGCTGTGAAAAAGTGTTCACTTCTTTGTAGATTTATTCTGTTTTGTCACTAAAATGCTTCAAATCATCAAGTAAGCAAAAAACTAAAACTTAATGAAGTTATTCAGAGGCAATGGCGTCAAAAGTTCCCACGTTTGTTACTTCAGTAGAAGTATAGATACTAGAGTTTAAAAAACACTCTGGTAAAAGTTGAAGTATCAACTTGACTAGGGATGCACGATATTGGGATTTTGGCCAATATCCGATATGCCGATATTTTAAAACTCATGTAGCCGATAACCGATATCGATACCGATGTTAAAGCTGGACAAAAATAAGTAGTCATTGAAAATAGCAGTTTTGTTATCCATTTCTGACACTTTGAAAAATAATATACTCAAATATATTTTCATATGCTGATATTAAAATTGATTTTTAAAAACGCGGTATCGATCTATTTTACTTTCAAAATCTGGTTAAATTTAATCGTTCTGTTACAAACTCTCGTGATATTTTGCAAATTCTTGTGAGATTTTGTTAGTAAAATAGATCGATACCGCGTCAATATATCAACATATAAAAATATGGCAACATTTGGTGAATTTTCGGGGGATTTCGTAGCATAACGATGACATATAGCAATATTTCATTAGTAAAAGAGATTGATATGGTGTTTTTAAATGGCAATATATCAGCATATGAAGATATTGGGATATTTTAATGGATAAATATTTTTTCCCTCGTCTTTAGAAGTTTTTAAGTCTGTAAAAAAGAAGTTTTTGAGGAAGAAGAAGAAGAAGTAGTATTTTTTTTTTTTTTAGACTTTAGAAACTCAGAAGCTGATCAAATATCGGGTTAAATATCGGTGGGGTGGCCGATGTCCGATATTCAGTTTTAAGGCCGATACCGATAGGGGGCCGATTATATCCTGCATCCCTAAACTTGACCTCTTTACTCAAGTAAAAGTGAAAAAGTATGTGCTCCAAAAACTACTTAAAGTATGAAAATATAAAGTAACCTTTAAAAAAACAGCCAGATGCCGCTATATGAACTGAAAGCTAAATTTTTGGACTATTTCTATAAATCCTCTGAGATAGGGCCAAGGACGAGGGAGGTCTGGTTGGTCTCCGTCTCCCGATACGCTCTCGCCTGTTTTGACCTTTCAGACATTTCAGCATCTTTTTCTGAATCCCACATTGTAGCATGGCATAGACAATTCACGTTAGCAGTTTGAAGAACACCTGCTGGCTTCTGATGATTTCCTTTAGCTAACCAATGAGTGTTTGCCTTCTATGACTCATCCAATCACACTAGTTTTCACTAGATGTGGGCGGAGCCAATGATCTGCATTGGATGGAGCACATGACGGGAAATAAAGATTTAGAAACATTAAACCAAAGCCAAGAGGAACGAGTAACATCTGATTTAAAAATGAAAGGAATAGAAAGAACAGATACTGGTGTGAAAATGTAATTTCACACCAGTAGGAATAAAAATAAGTAATGAAGTATAGGTACCTAAAAAGTGTGCTTAAGTACAGTAACAAAGTATTTGTACTTTGCTACTTGAGACCTCTGTTCAGAGGAAATACCCATCTTAACGAACCTGTCTCTTAGTGATAAATTAATTAGCCCCTTTCTCACTGACATTCTGGACCAAATTTAGCAGGGGACCCATCAGGGAACAAAAGAATGTAATAAAAAACTGCGCAAAAGTCATCGTTTGATATATTAAGTGAACCAAAGAGCTGTTTAATTGAAGCTAAAAGTGCAACAACTTAATCATAATTTATTTATGGTTCTATTTATCATTTTATTTTGTATTATGTCTTTGGCACAGTGGCCAGAAGCAATTGGCCCGTTAGTCCCTGTTGGCCCTGGTCTAAGACCCGCCATGCAACTTGTTTAATTATACTTTAAATGTGATTAAAAACGTTGCTGGATGTCTAGGTCCAATTTACTCATCACACCAAGTTCTGCCAGGCTTCTGCAATCAGGATATCTCAACAGGAAGTTGGCTGAAGATCAGACAAGAAATTCAAGGACTTATTAAAACATAAGTCTGTGATGCTTACATATGGGTCTGAAGACAGTCCTTTTATTCTGTGGAGGCTTAGAGCTTTACAGTAGCAGCCATTCAAAAGGGCCGTTCCTGAATACTACACCTCGCCAGACGCACGATGAGGCTGAAACTCTGCCGATAGAAAAAATTTAAGAATCGACCCGAAAAGTTCAAAATATAGTACAGTGTATGCCTGGTTTAAACCTCTCCTGTAAATTTAGTAAATTATTGGTATGATATGCATTTTCAGACTTCATAAATATGGTCATTAAACTGCATTAAATACATGCCCAAATGTGCCTGATTTCATGAGTACATTGCTCATTAATCTGCACTTTCAAAATCATTCAAAAATTCATCAAAAAGAACATCAACCACCTGGGCCAACCAACCACCCAGGATAAATGGAGAGGTTCGCAAATCGCTAAAAGCACCGAACTCAGCTTTCAGGTCTGCTGATAAAGAGGCTCTGAGAAGAACGCGTGGCAACTTAAACCATCGGATCAGCGAGCAGAACCGCAGCCAGAAGATCCAGGATCGTTTCCACGATGCCAGCAGCACCAGGAGGATGTGGAAAGGCATTGGGATGATCACAGACTACAGCACACCCTCCCCCCCGGTAGATGCAGCAAACACTGACTTCCTAAATGAACTGAACAACTTCTTTGGAAGGTTTGAGGCACTAAACAGCCTCCAGCAGTGAAAGCTGTTCCACACCAGGGGGGGAGGCACTAAACCTGGACGTAGCTGAAGGGAGGAAAACTCTGAGGAGAGTCAATCCAAGGAAGGCTACATTATAATAAAGCCTCTAGATGCAAAACCCCATCATGCACTGCAACATATTTTTGCAAAATATTCGAACATAAACATCGAGGAACATCGTAGTTTGGTTTAAAGAAAGCATCTTAGTTGTATTATAATTTAGTTTGTTGCAAGGATTTTACAGTTAGAAGAAATAGAAAATGACACCATATTCCAACCGTCACAAGGATGAGCATGAAGGAAGGGCTATATATACTGCATGCATCATTTCGGGAGTTAATATTGGATTACTGCTTCAGCTCCTTCAGGTATTTACTGTCACAGGTAGGAGCTTCAGCCGGAGAGGAAGTGTTGGAGCCACTATGATTTAAGGAGGGCCGGCCCTTGCACACTGACATTAGGACCGACCCACCGGGGAAATGCCGCTATCACAGATTACCAGTCCCAGCCTGGCTAAATCTCTATTGAGCAGGGGTGGGTTGTGAAGCTTTGCTGCTCATTGCTGATTGGCTAAAGCATACTTAAAGGCACACTATGCAAAATTTTTCAGTTAATTAATGTG